TATTTATTAATAAGTATTGTAAAAATTGATTTTTTGCAAAAATATTTTAGGAAAGTTGTTTTTACCCCTAAACCGATTGAAAACCGATGAAAAATGAGACCATCAATTTTTAAGTGGCACACTTGAGAAATTTTGAGCCTATACTGTTTTTCTTATATTTTAGCCCTTTTTCCATTTTCAATAAGAAGCCCTTTTGCTTCTAATCCCTTAACCTTATAAATAGGCTCTTGGGTTGTATACTATTAAATTACAATATAGTCTACCATATCATAATTTAATAATTCCAGATTATAAAGATTTAATTAATTAATTTGAGTATAAGTACCTACATATTTAGAATTTGATAATTATCATAATTCGTTCTTCAATTTTTGACTTTTTTCAATTCTTATTTTGAATATTGGCAATTTGTAATTCTGCTTTTTCATATTGCTTTTTTATGAAAATACTTGAAATATTTTTTATCCATCAAAAAATAAATTCAGAGTGCCAGATTTTTTACTTTAGAATCTCTAGAATACTAGATCTACTAACTTTTCAAAATAAGATTTTTTGGAAACTAGGAACTTTTAAAATCATATCTACCTCCTAGAAAGATTTTTGGTTGTCAACACTGGGTATAGGTAACCTTTGAAATTACCTTTACAAAACCACGGTAAAATATTTTCCTTTGTTAAAATAATTACAAAAAATTATGTTTAAATTTTACAAAAAAAATAACAAACTTATATTAACAAAAATCTGATTTTATAACAATGTAAACATTTTAATGCTGATAACACCACTGATATGTCATCAGCAAAAGTTTTTCATTTAAAAAATTCGGAAGATCGTTTATATGGAGTGGTCCCAGCATCGAGCCCTGAGGAACTCCCAAATAACTGTTAGATTGTTCAGTATTTTTGCTGTTTAACTTGATACAGAATTTACGATTATCTATGTACTATTCAATCCAATTAGAAAATTTACTTCAGAAAACCATTTCATATATTTTATCTACCACAAAGTTAGAATTAGCGACATTAAAAGCAAAAAGTAAAAAAATAGTCCAATGAGTCATTGGCAATGACCAATCTTATCCCTTATCCTTTTCTTTATAGATGTGTTGCATAAATTGATACGATGCCAGTTGACATTTTAGTTTGTCGCCATTTTAGCATATCGGGGTCGTTTATGGCCCATTTTTTATTTATTTTTTTAAACATTATATATTCATTGTCTTCATATTGCATGATTCACTGTTTACCTATGTGGTCTCAAACGTAAGTTAATTAACCAATAGAGATGCAGAGAAAATATGTTTACGATGATTATTCTGAAAGGTGCATTAAAAACCTAATAAGAGTTGCACTCTTCGGTAGCAATCACTCTAAGACCATAAAACATAAAATGAGTGTTAGAAAATAATTCATCGTCTCAAAGAAATTGGCCATTGTCGGCTTGCAGCCACTGTGAAAAACTATTTTGTAACTCATCGGCGTCGTGTGATTTTTAATATATTTTTCAAAACAAATTAGCGGCGCAAGAGCAATAAAATTAACTTATTGCAGCGCCATACATCACCGCTGACTTTTAAGACGATTCGCCTCGACAAAAACTTACACGGCCTTTTGCTTATTCGCATATAGAAGGGAAGCTCGATGACTTACATGCTCGTAAACGCCGTGCACTGCTCTTACGCAGACTGTATTAATGGACTAAGACTCCAAATTAGCTACCACCACCCGTTGCCAAGTCTACTTTTAACCAACTTTATGAAACTAGACGAAATAATAATTAAAAGATTTATAGTTTATCTACACCAGACAAGTTTGGATTAGACTGAGCAAAACTGGTCAAGGCTAGATGGGCTAGAATATATTTTAAAAATAAAGGAACAGAACTGACCAATAGTACAATACTAGAGAGACAAGGTCAGACATACAAGTCTAAAAAGACCAAAAAGGACCAGACTAGACTGTTTCATCATTTAATATAAAAATATATATATACGAGGTGTGTTCAGAAAATATCGGGAATATTCGTTTTTTGAAACAAATATTTATTTATTCGTCTACATTAATGTTGTCGCCTTCAAAATAGTCCCCATTGGATATTATGCATATGTGCCTGCTCTTCTTCCAATACTCGAAACACTTCTAAAACTCGATCTTTGGGATAGCCTTTAGTTCTTTCAGCGATGCGCTTTTAATGTCATCTATGCTTGCGAAACGACGGCCCTTTAAGGTTCTCTTTATTTTTGGGAATAGGAAAAAGTCAGACAGAGGCATGTCTGGCGAATATGGAGGCTGGGGCATCATTACAGTATTGTTTTTGGCCAAAAATTTTGTTCAAAATTTAACAATTTTAGAACAAATTTTGCTGCAACCCGTTTCATACCCAAGACATTCGAAAAAATTATAAGGGATGAGCCAATTGATATACCAGGAGGTATGTCTGGCGAATATGGAGGCTGGAGCATCATTACAGTATTTTTTTTGGCCAAAAATTTTGTTCAAAATTTAACAATTTTAGAAAAAATTTTGCTGCAACGCGTTTCATACCCAAAACATTCGAAAAAATTACAAGGGATGAGCCAATTGATATACCAACATCATCAGCGACTTCTCTGATGGTTTACGTATGGTTTACGTATAACCATTACGTATGGTTTACGTATAACCATTACGTATGGTTTACGTATAACCATTTCTTCAACTTTTTCCATGTTTTTATCGGTTGTTAATGTGCTTGTGCGTTCGGGGCGTTCGTCATCTTCAACGTCTTCACGGCCATCTTGGAAACTATAATATCACTTGTAAACTCTTGTTTTACTTATAGCAGACTCACTATAGGCCTTTGTTAACATTTTACAGAATTTATTTCATTTTTTAAGCAAAATTGGATACAAATTCTTTGATTTCTTTTAATGAACGAAAAATCGCCGAGCTCATAAAACACGTCTAACCTTAGGGGCTGCCACAGACAAAGTAAACAATGAAAACAGCTAAAGTTTTTATCATACTTCGGGGGAATGTATACCAACATAATAAAAAAAAATTTATGACAACCGGACCCTCCGAACCCGCGAAATTTAACAATTCCCGTTAATTTCTGAACACACCTCGTACATATATATTTGTTTTAAGCCCATTTTCAAAAAACGTGCAACGAACAGAATTGCTTTTTCCAGAAAGACACTCTTGTATTTTGGCAACAGAGCGTAATTTGGTACGGTCGTTTCTCTTAGGAATGCCTACTGGATAATTTCGCGGCCAACAAAACCTTCATTGTTCTTTTTCGACTTGCTGTACTCTTATGGACTGCAAAATGCTTTTTAAATTTGCAGGTGTGTGCGCGACTCCTCGACGTGAAATCCGTTTTAAGCGTGGGCGGGATAAATGTCAAATAAAAAAATTCCTCTCCCGTAAGTAATGCCTCCCTTTTTAAGCGTGAACCACAAATTGCAGAAGCAATTTTCTTCTATTATTGGTCATTATGCACGTTTAGTACGCCTGGATCTGCCGCAGGCCGCTTTACATTGTAATTATCGGATTTTTTCTCAAACCATGCATGAAACTTTTTATTGAATATATTTTCCTCAAAAAGTATTCCCTTTATACACGTTCTAAACGGTGCAATTAAACTTCAATCAAGCTCTTTTTTTGAGATGGACATAGGGAAATTTGGTCCATTAAATTGTTCACTGTTAAATGGTTCAAAACTGCTTGCTCAACTTTTTCCATGCTTTTCAGGTGCATCTTTGACATTCAAAGTTTTGGCTTGGTCCTAACTCTACTAACAAAGCAACTAAAACAACACACATCGAACATTAAGAAAGTCATTGTCCAAAACCTTGGCGAAAGAAACGAAGTAATGTAAAATTAATGCTCGAAAAAGGTAAACGCGAGTGCATCTCCTAACGATTGATCATCATCGAGGCTGGCCGAGAGGACAAGCGAAGGTGCTAGCGGCGCACGCTATGATTACAGGGCACTGCCACCGAGACAAGATGAATTAGTTGGTGTTACTGCCTCTCATCTTGACCGTCTATCGCTTAAATGCACCGTAAGACAACCACTGCAAAATAAAATTAGGAGTCGTTTCATATAGAAGACGAACATCGAGTTTAGCACCAAAGGGTTAAGTCCTAACACGTTCTATTTTGTTGACTGGTTACTATGGATTTTTTTGAAAGAAGACTCCTTTCAAAACACAAAGAAATATTGACAGCAAAGAGCAAACATTGATGGTAAGCCCTGAAGGGTTATATTTTTTGATCTCCCAAAGATTTACCAATGGAGAAACAGTCAAAATCGTCAAAAACATGTTGGAGTATTATGATATCTAAATATTGTCCCACTTTGCGTCATTGTTTTTGTTTACCAGCAACGTATCACGTATTAAGAAGAGCTACGCCCCTTTCCTCTGTACGCGACCGGCTTCATTTCAAGCCGATATTCTGCTAATTTACGCCACTTACACTTGCTTCGACAAAAATATGTAATCATCTCTCTTTTAGTTCTTTCTTTTTTTTAACGTTTTTACATGTTTATTTTTTTGTCGGTGTTCTTAGGGTTATTATATATTACTATAACGTCTTTGATACTGCAAAATTTCGTATGTAAAAAAATATTAACTTTTCAAATCAGAAAAACGTTACTGTATAGTTTTTTTTTAAACCTATAGGTTTTCTATAGAAGCATGAAATTAGGTTTGTATAAAAGAATATAAAAAATATAGTACACTATATTTTTTATATTCTTTATTAAATAACAATTCTTGTATTAGTTTTAGAATCTTGAAATAATATTTACAAATTAAATCCTGTTTCTCATATGCTGTTTCTGTATTGAAGCGACCTCTTTGAATTGGAGTCCCAAGTTTGAACTGAACACGTTTAGAATCGATAGTTATCTTACTCTGTGTTCTCTGCAGTCCAACCATTATAGAAGAATTCTCATTTTTGATAAACATGTTTGAAGAAATCTTGGTCTGAAATAAAATGCACGAGTAATTTAGTTTCGTTTATAAAATATAAATAAATCCAAATTATGTTTAAATATGGCATTATAAAGCTGTATTAATACTTTATGATTAATATCAGTCTAAAATATTGGCGTTAAAGAATAATAAAAAATAAATAGACGCGATTACAAACATTAATGCAATTTAACTTATTTCATTGCTCATTGCTTCAACTTCTATGATCTGATACCCATCTACATCATTCAACTGTTTGCTCTCAAACTTAGCTGCTATTGTGAATCTTCCAGGAAGTGTTGGGGTAAATGTGAACTCACTGTGAGCTTTTTTTCCTGGTGGGACTGTGTCTTTCACTTTCAATTTAAGTGCCCCTTTAATACCCGGTCCTTCCACAATAAATTTGCAGTTTTTTAAAGGTATGGGTAGAGGGTTTTCCAAGTAGATGTCTGCTTTGCATTCTTTCTCTTCTACTGGTGTGTCTTGTAGGACTATTTTGATGTCTGGTTTTCGAATTCTGAAATCATCTTGTGCAAAGTATTCGAACTTTGTATCCTCAATGGTGGCAAGACTGGATATGGAAAACGCGCAATCCTCTATTAATTTGCGGTGGTATTCATCGAATGTTACGGTCAGTGTCACTTCGTGCGTTGTATCGGCTTTGACGGTGACTTCAAAATTTTCTTGTTTCACTGTATCCCACTGTGTTCCCATGTACGTCACAGTGGTAACTTTTAGCATCACTTTTACTTTGTAATCTGTGGATTTGCTGCGGTTCTTCATTGATAAAGCTACATCGAAAGGTTGCCCGATTTTAATATCATCTATTAGTTTGAAGTTAAAGTGAATGTCATTGAAATCTTCGTTGAGATAGTATCGGGAAAATAAGTTTTCCGATTGTCGTAGAGCTTTGAGCATAGTGCTTCGTTCTTCGGTGGATTTTTCAGGGAATTTATATGTATTAGTTAAATCTTCGCGTTCGTATGCACCAGCTGATTTGGTGCAGATCAACTTCCCTATACCATTCATGTCTTTTCTGATGAGTTTAAGGGGTTGAGTTGGTCCGCAATATTTCCACAGTATCTAAAATTAACAATTAGTGTACTTAAGACAGAAGATAAAACTTAATACCTTATCCGCATTGACCTCGGAAAACAAAAAACTATTGTCATACGGTTTCAAGACCTCCCCCAGCTTCACTGCGTGTACACTAGCAGGTCCGATCCTGTACATGTTGTCGCTTAACTCCTGAGGAGTGGCGTCTATAGCTTGCCAGCCGTTATATTCTTTACCCAGGTCAGGTCGTTGCATCCAAACCTCATTCCAAACGTGGTAGTTCCATATAGAGTCACTGTTTAAACCTTCCAAAGTATTTCCTTTTTCATCTATGAAATAATCCACTGTCAAGGAATTTTGGGTATCGTGTGCTGAAGAGTAACAGGTTACAGGCCTTGTGGGAATGCCAAGAGCTCTACAAACTAAAATATGTTTTTTATGCAATTTGTATATTATGGTAATTCTCCCATAATTTTAACTTGAATGTCCCAAGGCTGTCAAATAATTATTTTTTATCCAATGCTGTTATTTTTTTTAGATGAGCTATGTCCATCTCAAAAAAAGAGCTTGATTGAAGTTTAATTGCACCGTTTTGAACGTGTATAAAGGGAATACTTTTTGATGAAATATATTCAATAAAAAGTTTCATGCATGGTTTGAGAAAAAATCCGATAATTACAATGTAAAGCGGCCTGCGGCAGATCCAGGCGTACTAAACGTGCATAATGACCAATACCGGATTTAGAAAAAAATCTTTTCCTTACCATAAAAAAATCTGAAACCCTATAAATTAAGGAAGCCTATAAATTAACTAAGATTAACTGGTTATTAAAAAAATGCAGCAAAGATATGCCGTAATTATAAGATTTTTTTATATTTTTGTTAAATATTATCTTTTTCAATTAGACAAAATTAATAAACACGGAATAAATTACTGCTGACAAAAACATATATTTTGCGCAACGGTACCCTGTTTAAAACTGTTTAAGATACTAAAATTCTAAAGGAAGGAAGAAAGGAATTAAAAAAATTTAGCCTTAACAGGATTTTAGAAGGACACGGCTAGTTCCAGACAAAAAATAGACCCTTAATTAAAATTAATTTCCAATTTATGTGGGTTTTACTTTCTGAAAAGCTAGAATAACATCACATGATCACTAAAAGTTATAAATTATGCCTGTATCAAAGATTTGTGCCATTTTTTTATAAATAAGGGAAGGGACTGTCAGGAAAAGTACTAGTGCTTTGATTACTTGATGAACTAGTAACTTTAAAAAAAATTGTGGTCTAGTCAAAAAATAATTTCAACAATGAAAAATGACAAATTTTATAAATAAAAAATGTTGTATCTAAATATTAAAATTATGGGAGAATTACTCATTGATAGTCTTACCTACAACCATAATTTATTGAAAACAGATGTAAATGGTTCTAACTTTATTTAAGTTCATCCGATAAAAGAAATTATAAATAGAATATAAAAATATCTTACTAGTAGTTAAGACCCCGGAGAAAACCCAGCACTGCCCATACTTCACTGGGCTTTTCTTCTTATAATATTGCTGCAAAATCTTTCTACTGCCTAACCATTTGGCTGGTGGAGTTCCACCGCTATGATCAATAGACCAATTTCCTTCGACAGCACCATTATCGTCATAGGAATTAACTGCTGCCGATAGACCTCTAGTGGTTTGCACTGGATCATTTCTAGAGCTGATTTTGACTTTACCAATTTTTAATAAATACAGCGAACACTCTAATATGTCTTTCTCGAACTGATCGTATCTCCAAATAACGGGTCTTAAGCTGTTATAGGTGCCTCTCCACATAAGCCCCACATCGTTTTCCACTGTTTCCTCCCTCCAATCACCATTCGCGAGGTAGACTTGATCGTTTTTACACCACGGGTTGAAGAGGAGGTAGATTTTCGTTTCCCAAGCGTAGCTGTAAGCCCCGTTGTCTTTAATTTTAGTGTCTATCTCCATCAACCATTTCCCCACCACTGAGTTAGCAGAAGTTGATATCTCCACTGTTATGATGTTCTCTTTTGATGAAAATAATATCACATTCCACGAATACAGCTTTTCTTTTTGTTTTAATAAAGGTATAGCCACCATGGTGCCATTACCATGGGATGCATATTCAACCCCTAAAGAATACATTGTTAGAATAAGTTTATTTTTATTAATTAAAAAATTTATTACCATCAAGAGTAAATACGAAGGAGACAGCATCCTTCTCAGGATTGTACTCTCTGCTCAACGTGATGTTCAAGTAGAAAGGCTGACCCCGTCTCACCACCAACTGAGGGTCAATCTCGCGGGTCATAAGGTCGAATTTTTCCGTGTGGTGATCAGTTCCGTTTCGTGAAATGCACGGGTTTATGTTTCTGATTATGAGGATGTCTGGCTCTTCCTCTATTTTGTTTGCCTCACCAAGATCAGTTTCTAAAAAAAATATTCAGTAAATTGTTCAATTAATTGTTTAATGGTGTTTAAGTCAAGGTTATAATCTTGACCTATTTCATAATTTGTATTGTGATTTTATTGAATTTGCGCGAATTATGAAACATCATTCAATTATTCAATCTAAAAATATATTTTTGATCGTAATGTGTTTATTTTTGAACCTGAATTTACCATGTGTAATTTGTAGTAAATTGTTAAAGGAAATATAATACTTGTTAAATATTTTAAATATTTATACTTTTATAAATAACTATTATCAAACAATTTTCTAGTAGTTATACAAAGTAGCATAATTATTAGTTATAAAAACGGTAGGTCGAAATGAAATGATGTAATAATAATTTACATACATTCATGAGAAGATTTATCAGTTATTTTTAAATTAAATGGCCACAATTTAGATTAAAATTAATTAAGGTTTTTATTCGATAGTCTCTAAAAATAGAATTAAAAAATATTCTTAAATAAATTGCCAATAATATGTAAAAATAACAAATTAGTTTTTTATAGTTTTGGCCTAACGTAGCATGTAAAGAACAATCGTAAATTTTGTTTTGTGCGACCAAGCTATTGTTAATGATTTACCGTATCTATTTATACAGGGTGTTTTAGAAAAAAATATATTTTTTTAATATATAGGTACCTACTCAGAATAGTTAAGATTTTAAAATAAGTAGTATAGATTTTTGTTGATTGATTTACAAAAAAGGTTAATCTAGTTTTTAAATATAATCGCAACTAAAATTTAACTTATACTTTAAATTTTTTAAAAACTAGGTACCGGAAAAAATTTTACTATTTTTGTTAATTTATGTTCTTTCTTATTAATTAAAATAAGCTTTTAACTATTTTTCATTTTGTTCTGAAATTTTATTTCAAAATATTTATTTTTAAAAAAGTATTCCGGAATCAAAGCCTCTTGGATGAGAAATTTTAAACATTTATTTGTCATATAAATAATTACATTATAACATTTATACCAATAAATTATTTAGGGGAAAAGTTTAAAAAACCCTGTCATATTAAGAGCTTGGTATACTAACCACTAGACCATAGGGGATATACTTTATATCTTTGAAAAGCTTACATTTTTGAAAAAACAAAAGAATACTTTTTTGTAGATCCGTTAATTTCCAACAAAAATATGCACTACTCATTTCAAAATCCTAACTATTCTGTGAGTTATAAAATTTTGAAAAAAAATGTATTTTGTTCAAAACTTTTTAAACTTTGGCCTAAGATATCTTTTAAATGGAAAGGTTTACAAAAAAACGTAAAATCCTTTTTTATAATTTCTCCAGAAAATCGCATTTTCTTTAGAAATAACGTAATTTTGCATTTCTTCTTGATACTATTATAAATAGGTTAACACTACTATTCTTATAACCATGGATTTAAAAATTAAAAATAAATATTACAAAATTTGGTGCTAAAGGAAATGTTGTTTGTTTGTCAGGGTGTGATTGTTTATAATGATAAAACTAAACTAATATTTCTTTACTTCAACAAAATTATTCATGTATTGCTTCAAATTTTTAGTTGACACTGTCACTTGACGTGATTTATTAAAAATTAGTCATTACCTATTTGCAAATGAATAAAATCAAATATTATGGACAAAACCTATATGCATATACATGTACACATACATCAGGAGTTTACCTTGAATTTTAACAATAAAATCTTTTAGTGCCAAACCAAAGTTCCATGCATAATGACAAATAATACATCCCGTATGGAATACGGAATACCAATATGTTATTCAGTGGATTGAGTAAAGTTTTTGCATATGTATGGATAAATTTAAGGAAATGCACGTGTATTTGTAAATCCGTGATTGGTAATGTCCCAAGTAGGCAAGGATGTCGTTAAGTTTACACCCACCTGATCAAGAATGTCAATAATAATAGTAATGATAATTTTAAAGTTTTCACGTTTTTAAACACTAGGTACCCACCCCTTTTATATATAATATAAAAACCCTTGAATTGTTATCTGGGTAAATAGTAAATAATATTACTCTAAAATTTAAAAAAATACATATATAAACCACTATAAAACGAACACCCACAGATGCAAATTAATACGTAACATAATTATTATTAACAAATAAATAAAAAACACACAAACCTTCATATTCCTTTGGTTTTGGTAGACTCTGCATTTCAGCAGATTCATCATGATTCAAGACCCAATTCGCTCTGAATCTGGAAAAACCGTGACAGCAATTATCTCCGAATCTCCCCATTTCTTATATTGTTTTTGTCGACAAAAATCACACTTAAATTTTTGGCGCCATAGACTCGTGCTTGACCGTTCGACTTGCTTTCACTTTTCTTTATGAATGACTGGAGCCCGCGTCTTATATTTTGGATGTGTGCGTTTTAAGAGTGGTCTAGTGACTGATCTTAGTAGTGATCTTTTCGATGTATGTGCGTTTTCTGTGAGTCAGCCTTGATACTACGAATAGGTTGGATGTTTTCTTTTGGAATGTCTATTGTTGTTTGTTTTTGGAGTTTTGTTAAAGAAATGTACATTTTTAATTGTTGGTGTGTTATCTTATAAGATAGTATGGGGTATTGTGACTCATTTACTTAATTGTAATTAAAGTATTACGCTGTGGAAAATAGCTTTTATTATTTTTATTTTAATAAAAAATTACGAAAAAAAAATTAATTTATAAAAAATTGGTAAAGGTACAAAAATTCTTTAATGGTATAATATGTATCAAATTTAATAAACGCCTTTTTAGTCACGAATTTTAATTGGGCACAATCGAGCTTGCATGCAAGTGTTTAAATAAATAAGTGTCTAGAAAAGTTAATAAACGAGTTGCATACTATACTTTTTTACGACAAATATTTATTATTATCTAATATGCCAAAAAGCCACTATTGCAAACTTCAACCCGTGACTAAAACACCATAATGTCAAAGCTCGTCAATGTAGGAGTAGATAAAAACAGTTTTGTCATGTTGAACCATATAATAAAGTTACATTTTTTTTATTTTTATGCAAAGTGACGAGTGAATACAATTTAAAAAAAACACTAAAAAACGTGCTTAATATTTTAAAATTTAATAATTAAAAAAATTTTTTTTATGTTTGATAACCAAAAATGTAATGTGGTAAAATGTTTTGAAAAATTAATAAAAAAAATATTCTAGTGAAAACTTATATTTTGTCATCCATATTATAAAAAAAATCTTTATGATATTATATTTCTATTTTTGAGTTTGCAATTTTTATATTATTAAAGGTACCTATATTTATAATAAAAAATCATACAAATACAAATTTAGAAGAAATGAAAAAAATGTTATTAGGTACTAGTTAATTTAAATTTTGTATAGAGCGACATCTATACAAAAATTGAGTAACCAAATAGATGGGGAAATCTGTTTTACCGGCAGTGTCAAGTTTTTCTGAAACAATCAACATTTCTTCTTTAAAAATGAACCAAAAATCCGTTTAAATACGATATAGAAACAGTTTTTTACATTAAAAGTGAAGAGAATGTTTTATGGGTACTCAACCTGAAATTTTAAGGCTTTATCGGCAAATACTAGTTTACTGCCGGTGAAATCAAGGGTCAGTACAAACGTGAATATACCTAAATTTTTTAAAGATTGTCGCCAAGAAACTATTTAATAATTTTGTATTTTTAAATCGAGATAATAAAATAATTTTTACAATTACTATTAATTCATAAAAAGGCACTTTATTTTAAAGATTGTATGACATTTGACAACAAAATTAGTTTTAACTAGTTTTGCAAAAATGGCGAATGCGCCAGGAAACATGTTTTAAAATTACTTACAAACAAAAACAAATATTTTCATCTAATATAAAAGTTAAAAACAGTATATTATGCAACAAGTTTTATAAACGCCATTTATTTAAGTTTTATAAACGCCATTTATTTAACTCAGAGTAATGTTTTTGAGAATAAAAAGCCAATTTTATTTGACATCTTATTTTTTACCTGACTTTTTATTAATCTGGCATCTGTCAGACAATTCTAACCTAATTTTTTAAATTGTAAATAAGTAAATTAAGGACCGCATGGCGAATCGATTTTAACATTAACTGTCAAACTGTAATCCATCTATCTAAAGTAAAATTCGACCGAATTAAATTTAAGGTATAAAATTAATTTTTTTTATAGAATTTTTGCAAAATACATAAAATAGCATAAAGAACTCATGTCATAAGACCTTTTGTCGCACTCGTCCATTACAAAACTCGCTCCTTCGTCGCTCGTTTTGACTTCTTATGACATTAGTTCTTTAATATACTATTTTTTGACGAATTATTTTATTATTATTATTATTTAAAAACTTAAAACATAAAATTTGCTATTATTAAAACAGTTGATAATAAAATAATTTAATCAAAAATGTCAAATATCTGATCTGTCTAATGTCCCATTTCAGCTCCCTGTAAATGCGTTATTTATTTTATTTCCATAACATCCGTTATTATAATACTAACTATAGTTATAAAACAAAAAATATTAGCAAATCAGTTTTTTGTTTATTTTGCAAAAATAGCGAATGCGCCGGGATAGTATTTTAACAGAAAAAAAATTAAATTATTATCTTAAAAAAAACTTTTATGAAGAAAAATAAAATTGTACAATAAAACTTGTAACAAATAGTTTTTTAGTACGTATACAATTTTCTAAAATTGTTTTAATAAATAATAAAAAACTAAATAGAAAAGTTAAACTAAAAACAAATAGATTAGGTACTACAAATTAAAAACAAATTAAAACGTACTTAACCAATTTTTTTTAACTTAAATTTGGGAACCTGTAATTTTCATACACCTTATCTAATAAAAAATGATTAAAAATTAAATTTAAACGAGTTATTAAAAGACCATAAATCTCACTATAGAAAACAAGTTTAATTACAACTATCTAAGGTCAAGATTCATTTCATTACCAATTAGCATTTTTTAAATATACATGTATAATGGGTTGCCTATGTATTGAAATGAAACGCTCAGAAATCATATAAAAATATTTATTAGTAAAAAAGTATAATAACATAACATTAACATAAATAAAATTATTCCTCAACCATTACTCTAGTGGACCCTGTTATTCCCTGAATTTCCTTAGATGTAAATGTAGCTATAATGGCTCTCTCCCCAGATTTTTTAATCTGAAAAACTTGTTGTATTGTCACTGGTTCCTTTGGCTCGACATCTCTGAAAAGAGTGGTGACAGCCCTTTCCATACCCGGACCCTCAACTGTATAAGAGCATTGAGTTAAAGGAATAGAAAGAGGGTTGGTAAAACTAAAGTCTACACAGAATTCTTCCCCGACTCGACAAAGCCCAGAAAGCACTATGGTCATCTCAGGCTTTGTCATTGTAAAGTCATCCTCCTCACTCCATGTTTGTTTGGTTTCCTTCACATTCGCAATGGCGTATATCTTTATCAAGCTATGGTCCACCAACTTGTTCATGTATTCTTCAGGCTTTACCATGATTCTAACCACCTCTTTTTCACCTGCTGGTACCGCAAGAGATCCTTGTGATTTTTTTAAGCTATTAGCAGCTGCCCCAGTGTAGAAGATCGAGCTTGCTGATAAGGCAACTGATATGTTCCGCTCCTCCTTTGATTGGTTGTGTATTTGCACTATAACCTCAAAGGGGTCACCTAGAGGTACTGTATCTATATCTATCAAATCGAAATATACATCCTCCTGTTCTTTGCTGGGTAATTCGTAGAATTGTTGAGCTCTTGGTACCCCTCGTACAGCGTTGTAGACTGCCAAACGTTCTGCCTCTGTCCCTTCTTTGTTTTTGTAGAATTTCGTCACGTTCCATAGATCTAAGTCGCCTTTATCATCATAGACTCCAACTTGTTTGGTAATGATTTTTTTGCCCACACTGTAACATATGGTTTAATATTTTGTGGACAAAAATATGTTTTGACTTACTGGTATCTGTTGATGGAAGTTCTTTTAAATCCCCAATCAGATTCTGGATCTTCTTGTAGGTGTACAACATCAGCATTTACTTCAGAAAATACGAAAGTGGTGTCAAATAGATATCCTACTTCACCACGTCTTACAGCTTCCACAGAAGATGGACCGCATCTGTATTGGCTATCACTCATTTCCTGAGGGGTTGCGTCTATAATTTGCCATCCACCATACCCTAAAAACATTCTTTTAATTACCAACACTTGAGAAAGTATCCACACTTACCTAAAGGTAGATCAGGTCTAGTCATCCAGACATCGTTCCAAACATGGAAATTCCAACAAGAATCATTACAGTCGCCCTCAGGTCCATTTTCAATCTTATCACCAAACAAATCAAAATACTTATCCACTGTCAAAGACCTATTTGTATCGTGTGCAGACACATAATTAGTTGTAGATCTACAAGGTATGCCAAGTGCTCTACAAACAGTCACAGTGGCTGCCGAGAAGACCCAGCATTGACCATATTTGACTGGAACACCACCAGAAAGCAAGAAGTTTTCCATAATTTTGGTAGACCCAGTCCAGGCGTGTGGAGAGGTACCATCATCATATTGTCCATCCCATTTGCCTTCCAGAAGACCACCTTCATCCACAGAGTTAATCTGCGGATATAAAGATTAATTTAAGAATTTTAAATGAATTTTAGAGTATTACCACAGCAGATATAGCTCTGGACACCAATATAGGCGACCCTCTATCACTAGGTGCCAAACCAGATTTTTCCAGAAGAAATACGGCAGCTGGTAGACAGATTTCATCGAACTGTCCAAAAATCCACGGTTTACCGGTTGGGTTTTTGAATGTCCCACACCAGATTTTACCGTTCTCATTCAGAATGTATTCCTTTCTTTCTTTCTCGTTCGCCATGTAGACGCCATCATGGGGACACCACGGGTTGAAGAGAACGTATATATCATCAGGACACTAAAAGTTATTAATTTTATTCATCTTTAAAAGAAATTTGTAACTTAACATACATTGAATTCCAGTTTTGGGTCCGGCATTCCAGCAATACTGCTTTGTACTGTACATTTCCAAATTCCTACTTGCACGTGGGGTGGTATATGAATTTGGAGTTGGGCCATGTTCCCTGTAAGGTTTGAAACAGCCAAACTCCAAAAAAATGGATCTCCATGTAGTTCAGTTTTATTTGCTTGTAAAGGCAGAATTGCTTTAGTGCCTTTAACAACTGTGGGCTGAGGACCTTAAAACAAACAAAGAGGTTTTTTGTGACTGAAAATATAATAAATCATCTCCTGGTATCAACAGGTTTTTACAACTTGAAAATATATAAATGTAACCAAAACAATAAATTACTTTAATTGGTAAAAAACTCATATATCATCAAGGATAACCAGTTAAGTAATAATTAATCATCTATTATTCAATAATAATAATAATAAAAATTCTTACCAAATCCAAAACAAATTTTGACCACATCTTCATTCTCAATAAAATCCCTTGAAAATCTGAGGGCAAAATAAAAATTGCACCCCCTTCTGAAAATAGGAGACGGAGTTTCGCTGCTTAGAAGTTCGAATTCTTCGGTGTGATTCTCTTGCGAGTTTGGTTTCGCGTAAAATTCCACTGCTTCGACTTTTATAGGTTCCATGTTGTTGATACGACGGGATTCTGACTGAAAAATTATGGGAGACTGCATTACTTTTATTTTGGTACCGCGTTTCTACTTTGTTGATGGGGGAAATGAGTTTTAAAAATGTTTGTCTCTGCCAAGTATTATTTTTTATTACGATGATCTTAAAATAGTATGATAGAGAACAGGTTGTTATTTTTTTGTATTTAAGAATATCTAGATCATTTAGAAGTTTGACGAAATATCCATAATATTATGATAAATACTATATCTGATCTGGATTTTAAGTAGTCCGGGTATTTTATAAAATTTTTTGATATTTTATATAAATATTCTGGACGATAAATTCAAATGTTCTTACTGGTTTTAAGACTTTTTTTTCTATTTTTTGGCAAAAATATTAAAGAAAAATATTTTGAAGAATGATCTAAGACATTTAAAATGCATTGTATATATACAATCATATTTATAATTGTTATTTCATGTAAGAAATCCAGTTAAAAATACACTAATAAAATTTGTCAATAAAACAAAAATAGATGAATTATTGTTTTTTTAAGTAAAATTTAATCTATGCAAGAATTCAAAATTAACTAACTATAAAAAGTGGTTTTGACATATTTAAGTGTTTGGGTTTACTGAACTAAAATAAATATTTATTTGTTTTTTATTAATAATTTGGCATACATTCTGGGTCAATATTAATTTTATCACGTGTCTAATATATTATGATATTTTACGATATGAGTATAAATAATAGTTTTACTTTTTATACCGGGTGTTACTACTCAAAACGGACAACATAATAAAGGTTGTAATTTTTATGGAGACACTTATAAATATTTTCAAGTTTTACACTTAAACATACATCGTCCCATTTCTTTGCTACTATATTTTGATCATCACGATCTTTTGTTTTTATAATGGCCGCCATAAGTTATGTAGTTTGATACATTAACTTAAAATCCAGTAGGCGAAAAAAATCACAAATTGGATAAAAATGTAGATATACATATGTGAAACTTACTTTTTCCAAAATTCACAGTAATAACAAAGTTATAACGATTTTTGGGTCTGGAAGGTTTTTAGTTTTTTTTCCAAATATTTTAAGAACGGCTGATTTTTTTCCATTTCTAAATGCCATTTAAATAGATTCGTACTTTTATGTTGGACATATCAACCAACAAAGATAAATAGGTATTTTATGAAAATAAAAAAAGGTCGATAATTACAAATTTCAATGTTGGTCATTAGATGTATAATTAAATGGTCATACAATTTAAAATGAATAAAAACAATTAATGTTAAAAACCTCAAAAACTCAAAAATTGTATGATGTTATAGCGACATTTTCGAAGTACCTTGTATAAATAAAATTATAAAAATTTACCCCGGAGCATTCGCCATATTTTCTCTATTGGGTCAATATTAATTTTATCACATATTTAGGTGTTTGGGTTTACTGAACTAAAATAAATATTTATTTGTTTTTTATTAATAATTTGGCAATATATTCTGGGTCAATATTAATTTTATCACGTGTCTAATATATTATGATATTTTATGATATGAGTTTTACTTTTTATAACGGGAGTTTATACTCAAAATGGACAACATAATAAAGGTTGTAATTCTTATCAAGACACATTTTTCAAATAAATATTTTTTATTTGAATTATGGCTAACAACTATTTCCCTTAAAAAGTATATTTTTAACAAAATAAAATATCCAATTTTGGCTAAAAAAACTATTGTTGTGTATATGAATTTATAATTTTATTTTTGTTTTAGTTATAGCTATATTACCAATAAACCTCGGTTAAAGAAAACTCAAAAATGGTATGGTGTTATCGAGTCATTTTCGAAGCACCTTGTATAAATAAAATTATAATAATTTACCCCGGAGCATTCGCCATATTTGCAAAACATATTTACAAAAAAATTTTTTTTGGTTTTTTGACCAACTTGAAACTCCGTAATTTTTTTATACGTAGTAAATAAATAAAAGAAACAACATTTTTCAAATTTGTTTTTTTCTTCGACATGTAAACAAAAAACAAAGAATAACCGTGGTATTTAAAAACCTTAAGGTAGTAATTTGTATGCCAATTAATTGTTATTATTTTAAATTTATTTCCATAAACAATGATTAATGAGTTACACTTAATTTGCGGCAATACTTTTTGTAAAAGAATATTTAAAAAAAATAGTATGGAAAAATTAGAAAAATGCACCTACATACATATCATATATAATATAATTAATTTTAATGGGAGATCAAAGAGATTTAATTTAAATAAATTGTATGCTATTAAAAATAATTCCACATAATTTACCTTAAATTAATCTTAATCAATTCTAAATCCTATTATTATCACTTAAACGCACAATAACTTTTTTCAACCAGCACTTAGATTATTATAAATATTCTAATTTTATATCTTGTTAAAATTCTAAATGTGGTTTAAACTTATACAGTGTCGAATTCAAACTGAGATAACCAATGTTAAAAATCCGGTTTATATACTTAAATGAAATAAATATTTCTTCATCGGTTTTTAGGTTTTAACGAATTACTTGTTTTGCGGTTTATGATAATTTATTAATTAATTACTATACATAGTAGTAATATTTTAACTCTTATCTTTATTAAAAAAATATTTCTTTCTAAATTTTAAAAATTGGCAAAATGTTTTGTTTAACAGTTTATATCTTTGGTGTTTTTGAGAATTAAATTAAATGGGTATTTCTTTATTGTGATAACCTTTTAATATGTTTAATATAAAATATACGATAGTATTTTGATGTAATTAAATATGGGGCATTCCATGCCAAATTTTCTTATCAAATAAGTTTGCATTTGCGTTTTTTGAAATTAGAATATTTTTTTGTACGTATTTAATGATATTTACCTGTTTTTTTACATTTTTTTGGAGGATAGTCGAGAGGATAGTTTTGGAGAAAAATATCGAAAAAACAGTGTAAATCGATCAATTTTGTAAAATTTTGTCAATATGACAATTCTAATCTAAAAAACAGGAAAGTATCTTTCAATACATATACGTTTATATACGTTTTTGTTTACAAAAACATATTCCAATTACAGCCAAATCGCAGATGCCTTTGATAGGTAAATTTGACATTGAATTCCCCATACGTACATATGTTTTTATTTATGTATTCATATCGTGGTTCAATGACAAAATAGTACAAATCTACTAATAGTATAAAAAAATAATTTAGATTTAAAACAAAATAAAAAACTTCAATAATTAAAGATTCATAGATTTCCAAAAAATATTGAATCGTTTACAAGGTACAGTTTTACAAAAAGTAAAATCGAAAAATTTTAGCATCTTAAAAGCATTATTTCTTAAAAACAAGGTTTTCAAAATTAAATACAAACAATTTTAAAATCCTTATTTTAATTAGTTGATTATTATTTCTAGTAACTCTAATTAACAATTATTTGCATGTTTTTATTATACAATAAATTACAATGTCAGTAATAGGAAATGTTTTAAATAAACCACAATTTAACAACTTATTTATTATATTACACACGTCTCATTTTTTATTGTAAAAATAAATATAAATTTAAACAAATTAATTTACTTATTAATTTATTTGCCCTGTTTTTTAGGTAATTTGTTGAAAAATGTTAAAAAATTGACATTGAATCTGCTAAACAATGTTTTAAGATTCCAAAAATTCCACCGCCATATCCGCAAACCTAATAACAAAAAAGTTATAGGCTATTTATGATTGACGCGCATTTCTCAAATTTTAACGAAAAAAAATAATAATTCGAAAACTATTTACTTTAGGTTTAGTAATTTAAAAATATATGGGGTGTTCTATTTGATGTTTTTTTCCGGTTAAACCGAAAGTAGCATTTTGTTCAAAATATTTTTAAAAATAGACGTTAATGGATTATTAATTAATCTTATTCCGACTTGCATCTGTATACATCACCGAACTAATTTTTTACGGCAAAACGGTTGAAGTAACATGTAAAAATATAAAAAAACTTCTATAAAGATTTAAATTTACAATAAATATTCTATTTATTAATACAATAAAATAGTAAAAGATTTAGAGCATTTATTAAGTGTGGTAAACAACAAAGTCTACGACAAAACGATTAAAATTGTAGGTAAAAATTAGAAGACTAAAAGAAAATTTAATTTATTTATATTTGCGCAATAAAATGCTGTATTTAATAAATTGTACTGTCGAATATTGATAATACTGTCTTTAACCTTACAAAACTTATTTCTCGTACGCCACTGCTAAATTTGATAATACAACCAGATCCCTTGGTTTATCTACCAAATTTTATGTCCCTTTGAGTTTTTTTTAATCTGGCTTCGTTTAAAAGTTATTAAGAAATAAATATACAAATAAAATGGGAAAATACGTTTTTCAACGAATAATTTTTAGGTCAATGAAATCTGATAAAAATTGCCATATTTTTTAATTCGCAAATCTAGTGCAGTTACTCATATGTTCAATGCTATTTTGGTGGATTTTCAACGAGAAATTTCTTCGAACTTAAATGACTAACAAACGCAATGATTTGGCATCCTCTATACTGTATTAGTTTTACACAAAAGTAATTTTATAAAACCACAAAACGTCTCTACTATAAAAACTAATGATTAATTAAGGCAATGAATCATGTTTTTTGTTGGCTAATTTGTCAATTAAGTTTTATTGTATTTTAAAAACAGACTATAATTTTAAACATCCCGCTCTACTACCATCATTGAGCCATAGCAACCCCTTGTTTACAAAGTTTGTAATACAAACAAACTGTCAATAAGTAGGGTTAGTTAGTTGCAGTCAAAAATGGTTGTATTAAAAATCTACTCGAAATACTTAAAAGTTGACTATAAAACGACGTTTTTCTCTAAAGGGACGTTTTTTGTATTCTTCACAAGAACATTATGTATAATATTGCCCTTTATTTTTGCTTATAACAGTGGCGGTAAGTACTTACATTTAGTTATATATTTTTAAAAATTCTGTATTGTTTTTTAAAGGTTTTTGGTTAAAAAGAGACTTTTTCTATGAACAACCGAATGTTAGGTTCAAGGGGGAATATTTATTTTATGCTACCACTACAAATAAAAGTCAGCCAATTGTTTGTAGCAATAATCCTTTTTATAATAAGTTTATAGGTGATATGGATGTTTGTACTGATATTAAAGTAATAATAATGGTTTAGGTTTCAATATAGGTATTATTAAAAAAATATATTTTTAGGTCAGAGAAGTCGACTATAACTTAGATGGTAAAGTAGACAAACTAGACGTTTTTTTGGATGTAAATCTGTCCTATAATAGTAAAATTACATCATTTACTTTTATTTTACCTCTAGATTATGACATTAAAGTAAGTATGCTTTACAATACTTATTAAAATAGTAAATGTTCCGTATCGCGGCTTTAAAAAAAAATGGTTAATTTGTGCTGGAAATTGCTCATCATGTAGGTTCTATTTAAAAAGTATAAAAAATTGGCGGGAAGGAACATGTTCCTCGTGCACGAGCGTTTTAAAAGTATATTATTATACGAGAAATAATGTGGGCTATTCTCAAGGATGATGTTTGTATCTCGAGCCGTTAGGCGAGTAAATAATGCGCATTATTTCGAGTGTAATACAATTTTTTTCTACTTCAGTTAAGTAATTTTCATTGATAACAAAATTTATTATAACCTCACTATTTTCCGATTTTAAAGATCATTATAGTCGCCCCTCGTAAATCTGACATCTGTTAACCTTACTGTTTCCCAATTTAAAACCTGATTGGTTCAAATATCATTGAATATTGAAATCAGCCAATCACTAGTGATCAGCTGATGCCTAACAACGTGAATAATGAGTTCCATATTTCCGTTGTTAGGCCGGGCGATTATATTACGGATATTATTTACGAAAAAAAAACAAATAATGTCAATAATATGCAACAGGAGTAGAGAAACAATTTTTTATCGCCAATTAATAGTATATTCTGTAACAAGTTTGGAATACAGCAAATTCCGCTCGAGTGAAGAGTTTGTCATACGAGCCGAAGGCGAGTTTGACGGTTTCACGAGAGCGGAATATGCAATTCCAAACGTGTTTCAAACTATACCTACTTTTTCTACGTTTTCAAAAAATACCATGGACAAATAATTTAATTGGAAGAAAGTGAGGTTGGATCGGTCTAAAATTTGTTAGATATTAAAAACAGAGATGTCGCCACTAGTGTTTATTCTGTCATCTGATGATAGAATATAGTATGTATAATCTAAACACGTTTATCTATTTTTAAGGCATTTTTTATTTTTTTGTATTTTTATTTCAATAAAGATGTACCCCAATCTTTTGTCCCCAAAAAATCTTGACGAAAATGCTCAAAACTTAACAACAAAGTATTTTATTTCATTCTTTTAGACTGTTTGTCCTTTTAAAATGGAGTCTGCGATAATTTTTCAACATTTTCTACCAATTTATGTAACAAAGTTTTCCGTAAACGCCAATCTGAACGTCTTCCAAAATAATCCACTTCATTGCCAAAGAGGTAGAAGAAAGTTACATCTATATGAAAAACAAATGCTTGAAAATATCAACAAATATATACCAATAGATAATATAATAGATGAGTACAGCAACAGAAACAGTTAGTATAATAAAACAAGCAAAACAAAAATGTCAATTTTTTCACAATTTATTGTTTTTTAGTATCAACCTACTTAACCAATATATACACAACATTTAAAACAACAAAAACAAATAAATTCACTTTAAATTTAAAGGCCAAATATATGGAGCACAAAATAACATACTATCCTAAATTCTGGCACATAATTAAATCAGCATGGATTCAATACTTGGCCATTTATATAGTTATAACATGGTTCTTTGGAAAATTAGAAAAATACATTTTTGATAACAAACTGGTGCTATACTATGAAACACCGCTCAAAAAAAAATTGTAACAAATAAAGTTTTTGTGTGAATAATATGTATTTTAATTGAATTGCAATTCTTCAAAATTAGGACTAGAAGCTGGGGCTAATTTTTGTCGATTATCCTCCAAAACTATGGTTGTATGAAGCATATCTTCAACTTCAACAAATAAATATCTGTATTCGTAATTCCCACTTTCATTCTAAAAAAATTATAGTTAATATGGTGAAATTAACAAAAAGTTATATCTATAGCTTAGATTAACATCCTTACTGCATAAAAGTGGTATTTCCATGGTATTTAAACTTACCTCTGCCATTTCTAATTGCACAGTCCCTTTATTAAAATTTCCTTGCAAATAAAACTTCATCCTTAAATGTTTTTTACCATCCTTTAAATAAACTAAATGTGTCGGATGTTGTCTTCTCCCTCTTCTTGTTTCTTCTCCAAAAGCTGTGATAGGCAACCCCAACTTATCTTCCACCCTGGGATCAGCAATACATTTTTTTGATGCTTTACTATATACATTATTAGGGCTTTTGCTTGAGAATAACTCATTAAATATGGCATAAAATAATGTTCCTGTTACTCCAACCCCAAGTAATATTATTCCTAAATAAGAAGCAGTCTTTGTAGTTTCTCTTACTTTTTCACCTAGCGGTTTAACATTCGTATCAACCTCAGATCTTGTGGACGATGTTATAGCTGTTTTGTTGCTCTTTAATCGATACCATATTGCTTGAGTATTATAAACCGAATTGGTCTTGTATTTTGTTAATATGGGACGTATACACCTTATAAAAGTCATTTTGTGGCCTTAAAGATTGTTTTTTTGCCTAAAAAGTGTTTTTAATCGGCATTTCAAGTTTCTAACCTATAAACTGTGGCTAAGGTGACAAAACTTAAATAATCCAATTCCGAATTACCTTATATATTGTTAAATATCATTTTTCTTCGTGTTTTTTAAATATAACATTTTTCACATACCTAGATTAATTTAATCTACGTATATTTGATAAATTTACATTTTAAAATCATTAAAAGCCTTTAATGTTTGTAACTTTAGACACTAAAAACATCCATTGACATACAAAATATAGAACGAGCAAAAAATCCTATAAATAGGCTGTAAAACGAGAAATTACCAAGAAATTAATATTTTTAATAAATATTTAACAATATTTTATAATAATAAAAACATAAAATTCAGAATAAAACAAAATAATTAATAAAACACCTAATTCCTCTCTATGTTTGCATTGTCTATTATTAATGAAAGGACATGCGCTTTGCGGTTGACATTTCAGTTGACATTTGACAGTTGGACGAGCACAGCCACCTACTGATATAAAACTGGGGCAGCGAATATGTAAATAGTTGTTTAGTGAAATAAAGTCGCATTCAAAATGGATTGGGTAATTTCTGACGAGTTGTCTTTAACGGTGGGACATGTCGTGGGGTGGGTTAGTGCCGGCGCGATGGTAATCGGCGGTGTCATCCCCTACATACCCCAATACAGGCAAATCAGTAAAACAAAAGACGCCGAAGGATTTTCACTGTTGGTTTGCTTGTCCCTGTTGATTGCCAACACTTTGAGGGTGATGTTTTGGTGAGTTAAAGTTGGCAATAGTGACTTATGAAAGGATAGGGGTCTGTTGAAACCCTGGTTGAAACAATGAATAAAGCTGTACTAAAATCCATATCTATATCCGGAAATTAAATATTAAAATGTATAACATAACTATAAAATTGCAAATTGTTCTTAAAACTAAACAAACAAGTATATTTTAGTATATACTGGGTGGCTTATAAAATTTTGTCAAAGAGCATAAAAAATTTTCATCTGGCAACATTGCTCTCAATCTAAAATTTGTCAAAAAATGTGTAAAAATTACATTTTTAAACTAATTTTTACCTAAAACTACTACTGGATAAACAATTATAATTTTGTTTTAAAGGTAAATATGGTTTTCCTATTTTGAGTTATTTTTAGGTTTGGAAGGCATTTTGAGTATCCTCTTTTGATTCAAAGTTTGGTGATGAACGTGACAATGTTCATAATGATTCATTTGTGTGTGAGGGTGAGGTGTAGAAATCAGTTGATTCAAGCAAGGCAAAGAATTTTCACAGGTATGGATTTTATTTTTTAGTTATTTTTAGACACAATCAATAGTCATTAAAGTCTTTTGGTAATCTCCTGAAATAAAACACAATGTTTAGTTTCAAATATAGACATGATGTACCTAATTTTTTTGAGCTAGTCAAGCACATAAGTAGTTTTGTTTTATCTATAGGTACCTAATAATTAAGTAGAGTTGATATCACATAAATGTACCCATGTATATAGATAAAAATTTGGTGATGGTCCCTCTTACTCTTATTAACATTCTAATAATTTGTATGGGTAAATGTCTTAAAGTGTATAACTTTCTATTAAAAATATAGTCTATAGAAAACAATAAACCAATCAGAACACAGCATTCTTTATTGCACCTGATGTGTTCTATGTAGATTTTTTTATATAGAAAGTATAGTGGCAATAATAAATATTAAACACATTTTAGACGTTTACCCTTAGAAATGTAGATTTTATTATTATTTTTTAGTTTTTGGTGTGTAATGTTCTGTTTATTTTTTTTCTTCCATTAACAGCTAAACCAATTGAAGTTAAGAGGCTGCTAAACTTAAAGCCACCACCTTCCTCTCACAAAATCTGTGGTAATAAGCTTGCACGCTTTTGCTTTTAGTTACCTTTCTTCTAGTTTTTAGCCTAGCTTTAATTTTTTTGGATTTATATTAAAATTACCAACATTTTTTCGATTTTTGTTAAAGGCATGTTTTAAGCTTGCCCTGTATAATTAAATAAAAAATTTGGTATTTTTATTAAAAATCCCATACTAATTCAACATTTTTTGCAAAATATAAAACTATTCGCCGCATTACTTAATAACTAATGCAATTGTCTAAAAAATCAATAATTTGTACCTAAATAAAATTCAAAGTGGGTACTTAACCTTTAGAAACTCTATGCTATGTATGTATATGCCCCCTTACCTAGAAACCTTTAAAATGACCTTTGATATTTGATACTTATAACATTTTAAAGTAGTTTTCTGTGTGTAAATTAAATAGGTACCAAATAAAGAACTTTTTTTTATCAAACAAAATTATTTATAACTAAAAATAATTTTCTTTCATAAATAATAATATCAATTTTAAAATAATATAAATTATAAGCAATCAAGTTGCTTATAAAAAAATATACGAAGGTCGTTCGAAAACTTCTCGGCCTGAAGTATAAATGTTGCTTGTGTGACCATAATAATTATTACAAAATTAAGGGCGCTGTGCACGGATATCCATTTAATGAAAAACACAAAAATCGTACCTGAAGGGTTTTCTTTTAATGATATAATAGCATTATAGTCATACATGCGACATACTAACTTTTCGAATGGTCCTTGTAGATGCTTGTTTTCAAACATGACTCTTTTATTTTTTACTTGTTTTATTTTAAAACGTGTAAATTCCAAGGGCTTGTCCACAATTCAAATTAAACTTTAAACCCAACCTAATTCATTATTATTACATTGTACTTTTTACTTTTAATAATAGCTCATTAATAGTTTAAATACGTCTAAGATAAGGCTCAATTAATAATAATAATAATAATAATAAACTTTATTGGAAATCCAAAAGGCTAACGACTTTCGTCTTCCTGCCCCGGCTCAATTATTTATTGATATTTATACAGAAAAAATAAATATTTGGTTATAAGTTTGCGATTAAAATTTATCTCTTGCCTAGCCTAGTTAAAATTTGTTCTATTTTTGGAATAAAAGTTTAAAATATTAAAACCATTCAAATGTAAACATTATCTAAACATTTCAAGACGTAGGTATTTAAGAATGTTAAAAACACATTTTAGATTAACAAAATCATTTAAGTTAGTATCTCCATTTAAAGAGTTTCTATAGAATGTCTTCAAAATTTAATATATGATTTTGTGAGCCATTAGACACATCACAAATAATTTCAGATTTTTTAGAGCAAATTCCAAAAAATAATTTTTGTTCAAATGCCATTTTTTTATTTTTATCTCTCGAGCTTTCTTATGAGATTTCAAAATACAAATACAAAATAAACTAAATAATCAATTTTTAAGCTATCAACATAATTCTATTTGGTTTCTCGAGTTTGGAAACGAATTTTTTAAATAATCTATAGATAATAATCATAGATGAGAAATTTGTGGGAAATAACCTTATGCAAAAGTGTTAGATTCTTTCAAAAATTAGTTTTTAAACTCGACCAAGCAAAGATAATGTTAATGGCTTAAAAATTGATTATTGCAGTATATTTTTTATGGAAATCTAAAAAAAAATTTTTTTAGCACTTTTTAAAGTTGTCATTTTAAATGTTGTGATGCCAACTTAAGGAACACAAAAATATGACAGTTTTAAACTTTCATTTTGCCATTATAACAACAAAATAACAATTTATATTGTTACTTATTTACTTTTTATGTTATTTTTTAGTTTTTGTGATACTTTAATTTGTAATAAAGTTTTAATTTGTTAATTAAAATACAACGTTTTATTATTACTACATTGGCACCGCTCAAACTCTTCAAATGGAGATACTACCTTAATGATATCAAATCAAACAAGTTTTAGAATGTAAAACAAACTTATTTTAAGAATGTTAAAATTTGATTTTAGAATGTCACACATTTCAGATTGTTTAAATCATATTTAAGAATATGAAAATTACTTGGACACATTTTTTTATTTTATTTATTTATTTTAATTAGTTATAATGTGGAGCAGTGTAATCAAGAAAAGCTTTTAAAAGAAAGCTAATATCAAATAAACTACCTCTACTTACTTTTTTACATAACCAATACTATTAGGTAATTGGAACATTGCATGTAAAATATTTTATCGAATACAATGTACAGGGAATAAATACATTACCTTAACAAAGGCTAATAAATTATTAGCCTTGATTATTAGTAATAATCAATATACGATTTAAGTATACAGGGTGTGCAAAAAATAATTCATTTTCCATTGCATGTATACAGGGTGTTTTTTCGTTATTGCAGACTTCGAGCCAAAGTATTTTTGGAACTGGTCGGATTTTCAGTCTTACGTCGACTGCATGTTGGTATTTACGATAGTGTCGTCCTTTTTGATGTACGTTTTCATAGAATACAACCTTTTCGTTGAGGTGGTCGGCTTCCTCGCTGTTTTTACGGAGGCCATGCTGGGAATGCCTCAGTTCATAAGGAACTACAGGAATAAGTCTACAGAGGGAATGAGGTAAGAAAAAAATGTTGAACAATTTCATCAACTTTTAAAGTATTATTTTTTCGCTAAAAAAACATTAATTTGATTCACCAAGTAAATTGAAAAACCTACTTTAGGGATTTACCGTTTTCCAATATAGTCATTAATCCCCTGACTGCACAAACAACCCTTAAAAAACAATAAATAGCGATTACGCGGGTGCGGCAACAAATAGCAATCAGGAGATTACCGCACGTATGTATACCCACGCTTTTTTCTTTTTTTTTCACTGCTATTTATCTCAGGTCAACAGTGATTTAACCTTTTAATGCAGTGTCTGACCCTACACAATAAAAGTTTTATCATTTCATTTAGTTACATATAGTTTACATAGGAAATATTGCGTGACAAGATTACTTACTTTTTTTACCTAAATATTTGTATCTGAGAATTTTTTTTTAATAGTATTTTACTTAAATATCACTATAAATCTGTTTTTAACCATTCAAAAAACATTCTAAATAACAAGATTAAATTCAAATTATGTTCAAAACATTTTAGATTGTGAAAATAAAATACCAAAACCATGTGAATGCCAAATAAGCATTTTAGAGTTTTAAAATCAAATATAGGAAGGTTTAAATAGGGTTTTAAAGTGTTTTTGGGAAATATACATATTTGAAAAAAAGTTGCAATCCAAATCTTAACTGTCATTATTTTAATTTAAAAAAATATTTTTACAAAAATAAACCTAAAAATTCAATTAAATTAAATTGCTTTAAGAAAATAAACGTAAACGTTGGGTCTTTTTGCAAAAAGGAGTCCATTGAAAATATCCAATTACAAAATAATGAATAATTTATAAAGTTAAATTACAAAATTATAATTTTATAAATCGAAGTGACAAATTAAACGAGAGTTATGTTAATACAGCACCGAATATGTTTTTTTGCAAACGGGTAGAATATTCTTACTAAATTAAAATAAAAGGACTAATTATTATAATCATAATATTATGATTCTATTCAGCTTCCGTAAAAATTTGTAAACTTAAAAAAATTGACTTTTGCATCTTTTCGTATTACCCTTTGAATAAAATGAAAAAAAAGCAGAAGTCGAAAAAACGGTTTTTTACTGCTGGCTTAATTTTTCCGGAAATTTTAAAACCCTAGTCTTTGTATCATGAGTCTTAAATAATAATTCTTATATAGATGAAAACATAAAGGGTAAATTTATAAAAACGTAATCCTGTTGGATACAAATAAATAAATAAATAATGTCAAAATTAGAATGTTTAAAACAAATTTTAGATTGTTCACAATATAATTAAGAACGTCATAATTATAATGTACAGTATCCAGGGGATCCTGTTGCCAATTCGATTTTACGGTAAAAAATATGTTTCAAAATAAGATTTCGATAAAAAAATTAAGTAAAATGTACCTACAGGGTGCTCTAAAATTAAGAAAAAAATGAAAATGCCTCATGTACCTTTTATTTTTATGGGAATCTCATGTTTTTTTTTAATTTTTAAGCACCCTGTACATTTAATTTAATTTTTTTATCAGAGATTTTGTAAAAAAAGAATTTTGTAAAATACATAATAAGAAAGTTTTTTCTATTAGCAACCCTATCCGGGCACATACTGTATTTTTTTTAATGTTTTAGGAAAATTTACATGTAAATTTTCTTAGAATATAAAAAATATACCAAATTCAAAAACAACTCGTCAAGAAATATAGGTAAATCAATTTAATGCAAAGTAATAAATAGGTCAACAAAGGCACAATATTATTCAATAATCAATGATATGACGTAGTAAAATTTTCCAAAGCACTCCCTTTAAAGTCAATCAAACTTTAGCTCCCTATAGGGAGTAATTAGTTGGGAAAGTGCTTTTATATTAACCATACGTACGCCCCTGGCTGGAAACATTAAAGGGGATGTTTGGCCTTTGACTTTTAACTTAATAGATGTTTAATTATTAAATTCTGACATTCACTTATTTTCATACGAAAACTATTTTTGTTGCGTATACGTATATAAATTATTCACGTAATAGAAGTGTTTTTATGTAAATTTATTTGTGTTTTGTAATTTAAATTGTTTAGTCACTTTAAACAGGCGGCTAATAAATAATTAAATGACCCGGATTACCGTTTGACCTCTAATTAACTTTATTTAATTATAGCAGTAACTTTATTGGCTTGTCTAAAAGCAATAATTGAAAATGTATTAATTTATACTGTCCATATGCAATCAAATGTCACATGCTATGTTAGTTGCCTATATTAAAAAAATGCAACAAAAATAAATCATAATACATCCCTTTAAAACCTGCATTCGGGTTACAAAAAACTCCCCTCCCATGTAAAAGCGACAAACTCGACAAAAAAATCTCTGACACGATAGAGAAGCACAGGCATCGTTAAACGACCCGCGCACGCTTTAAGCACAAAAAACCGTCACTAGGGCACTTTATTTCCTATCAGCGTCTTTCGAGAACTACGTGATCCGTGAAAATATGTAAATCAGCTTCGAGGGCGTTTGTTAACACACTCCTGAATTGATGTTGGGAGATTATGAAATTCATGTTCGTCGTCTCTGCTTCCTATTTATTAGAGTTTGAAATTTTAAGTCTCCTTTTTTATTAAAATTATTAAAACATGATTTATTTATTTATTTTATTTGTACGATTGCACACCAGTGGCGGTTTCTTCATAGGACAACATGAGCACGTGCACCTCCATACAGAATTCAAAAGTAATAAAGTTCATTTTTTTTAAATCTGGACTGCGGCAACGTTGCAAATTTAGGGTTTTGGTTGGTAAATACAGTTGTCAAGTTGGTCGCATTGATTAAAACAAACTAAGCTAGTTATAAATCTAATTGTGGTTATGTATAAATTACTGTAGGTTACATTGTGCAGTTGTCAAGTTGAGTTGTCGAAATTCGTAGTTAAAAATGCAATTAATTTGGCTTTGGTGGTGCTTGGATGAGTAAAATCATATAAAAAAACTAGTTAAATATAGGTTGCTTTACGGCCCAGAAGAGAGTAGCGGATAATAATCTTCGCTTTGAAAAGAATTTATATAAAAGAAATTAAAATTTTTTGTGAACGTAAATGTTGTCCAATGGTGAATAATGTAAAAATAATGTGTGATGTAATATTTATAAAACCAAATTCGTTACTTTTTTACTCCAAAAATGTCCATAAGGCGATGTACTTTTTCTTCCATTGTGGCATAATTTCATCAAAATGTTTTGCCCTCAAAAGGGCTTTTACGTTGCTATTATTTGTGGCATAATTATCTTTTTATTTATAATTGACAAGTAAATTATCAATAATAAATATTTTTGTCTATTTGACAGTGTCAAAGTATTTAATTAAATTCTTTAGCAGAAGTACCATTTTTAAATACTAAAAATACTAAGTCAAACTGGCATAATCCACCAACCTAACAAGTCCAGATTAAAAAAAAATTAACTGTAGTAATGAACTAACTATGCAGTTCATAAGTGGGGGATTTAAAATATATGATACCATAGACATATTAATACGTCCACGTAAGATACTAATAATTATTAACAATAATATTAATAATATTAACAATTATTGTCAACTAAATAAAATTTAGGTTATATCAAATTTTTCTAAATCATTTGCTTGGAGCAATTATTGTGATGTAAATTTGTATTAAGTTTAATTTGAAGCGCCACTAGGAACGCCATCTAAACTGCGCACCACTCAATGTGTCGCGACCAAAAAGTTTGTTCTTTTTCAAAACGACATAACTTTTTAGTATTATGTCTTACCTTGAAACGTTTTTCAAATTTTTCGAATTGGAATCTTAGCAACAAAAATATGACTTTTTTTGAAAAGAGTACATTTGAGGAGTTTTGGTAGCCGGGAATTGTTTTCGAATTTTGATTCTTGATGATTTTGGTTTTATCTCAAACTTAAAAACTGAATCACAACTTAAAAACTGAATCACAATCAGGAGGTCAAAATTATAAAGAAAACATGTCACGAGCGTAAATATCGGTCCAGGTTTAGTTTTCGCAAATTTTCACCAAAATGTCATTTTGAAAAAGTGGTCTTTGCTCAGGCCCCTCTGAAAATAATGGAAGTTTATTGCTTGCCACTTATCCAGAATTATTCAAGGAACAATCTTTTACCATCTTATCTTTTTGTTCTGAAAAAGACGAGTGTATTGCCTACCAAAAATCCTCAAATGTACTCTTTTGGAAAAAAAATCATATTTTCGTTGCTAAGATTTCAATTCGAAAAATTTTAAAATATTTTCAAGGTAAGACATAATACTTCATTATTTTAAAGTAAATACGAGAAAAAATGTTTTTTTAACAAACACCCTGTAGGAAATTTTCTTAAATTTCCAGGGGATGGGACATCACAGTCCAAAATAAAATCGTTCAAGAAACAAAAAAGTTATGTCGTTTTGAAAAAGAACGATTTTTTCCGGCTGTTCCTTTTGGTTTTCCAAATGTTTTTTTCTCTTACCAAAAATAAAAATTGCTACATTTTTCAGTAGTTTTTCATGTAACCCCATAAACAGATCTAGGATCTAAATCAAAGAACCTTGGTGGTCTGCTGACCAGTCAGACAATCTACAACAATTTCTGTATTTAGTTTGATGATGGTCGTGATGTGGACCTGCGGAGACGTCTTCAAAACGCTGTACTTCTTCCTGAGGGAAGCCCCAGTGCAATTCTGGATATGCGGTTGCATCCAGGTCACAATCGACACCTTGATCCTCCTGCAGGTCTACATATACAAGAGCAACACCGAATCGCAGCGCATCCGGCCGCATCGAGGCGATTGAGTGGTCATCATATGGACGCACGAAGAAAACGACCAACAGAACGAACCGAAAATCCCCAGCGAAGTCCCCGACAACAATGAATCGAAAGAGGATACGAGCTCGCTGAAATCCTGTGAAAACCAGACAATAAAGTCCGATTCGGACGATTCGGAAGTGTGCCGCAGTGTCACGATGAATCACTTGGTGAGCGCGGAGGTGCACATCGGCAGCAGCGCCAACGGCGACGCGGTGTTGCCGGACGCGCGCATGAACGGCGGCTGCAAAAGTAACAAAGGCGCGTACAAAAAGCGTGCCAAACGCACGGTCAACATGCTGATACACCGGCACACCTTATGACACCTGCTGCTGCCGATTTTAACGTATACGTCATTTTGCGGTGTATAATATTTTAAAAGACATTTCCATGATCCGTGGGTTATAACGTAAGTATGAAATTCTATATAAGGTTAAATTAATTTTTAGGGAGAGAGATTTTTTATTTAGAGGACCAAATCCATCTATTTTAGAGTATGTTCGCCTTAAATTGTTAAATGCAGAGAAAACATTCCATACTGTATATTTTTCTCAGTGTACAATATTGGAAATTTTAGTAATTTTACTTTTTTAAGTTGGTAATCCTAAAGAAGGTAACGCACAAGGTGCGCCAGATGATTTTTGTTAAGATACAACATCACAGTTAGGGATTTAAGTTTTATTGGAAAAACACTGGTTTGCAAAAAAATTAAAGAAATAATGTTAATAAGATTTTTTCATTATTTAAAAAAAATTACCAAAGTGTTTAATATATGTATTTTATTCAATAAAATTAAAAGAAAAATTTTAATTTTTGGAACGGAAAATGATATTTTACTTTATTTTTATAAATATTAAAAAAAATCCATCAAAAACTACTAAAATAATTTATACAGGGTATTCCAAAAATGGCACATTAACGCAAGAATAGAAAACACGTTTCTAATGATGTTTCAAAATTAAAAAATAAAAATTTGTTGGTAATAACAATGACAACTTTTTCTTTAATGTTAATAAAAAGATTTTTTTCACTATTCATCCATTTTTAGAGATTTTTAAAGAAAAATCGTCAATTTTGACAAATGACATTCTTCATCAAAAATTTACTTTATTTTAAGAAATCTTTAAAGAGAATAGTAATGACCAAAAAATTACAATTTTTTTTTTCAAAATTTCTAAAATTGAAATATAGAAAAAAATATCGATAAGATTTGTTCATAATTTATCCGTTTTAAGAGATTTTTAAAGAAAAATTTTTCATTCTTTATTAAGTTTTTAAAAATATTTTTGAAACGGTTGGAAAAATTAATAATTTATGCATTATTATTTAAAAAAATGTATCTTAATTAAATTTATATTAATACTAAAATAAGTTGTACAGGTTGTCCCAAAAATGATGTTTCCAAAAAAATTTAAATTTGTTAGTAATAGCAAAAACGCAACTTTTTCTCTAAAAATTAATGAATAAAGAAAAAAATAATATTTTTTTTATTCATCCATTTTTAGACACTAAAGAAAAATTTGCCATTTTTTACCAAAATGTTTTATTATATGAGAATGGTTAACTTTACTTTCAACCCATTTTAAATATTATAGTTGCTTTCTTCCAATTTAAAACTCGATTGGTTCAAATCACAGTGAAAATTGAAATTGGCCAATCACTAAAGCCTAACAACGTGAATAATAAGTTTATTATTCCCGTTGTTAAGCTGGGCATAATAGTTATAATTATAAAAAGAAATACCCTAATATAGGAGTAGATAAAATATTTTATTTATTAAAATCTAAATTTAAAGAAAAATCGTCATTTTTGGAAAAATTTACTTTATTTTGAGATATTTTTAAAGAAAAAAAGTTAATTTACAAAATATTAAAACAATTTATACAGGGTGTCCCAAAAATGGCACACTAACGAAAGAATAGAAAACACGTTTCTAATAACGTTTCAAAACTATAATTATAATTTGTTGGTAATAACAACAAATTACAGATTTTTTCATATATTTCATTAATTTTTAGAGATTTTCAAGAAAAAAATTCTTATTTAGGTACTATTTTTTTTTAAATATTTATTTAATAAAATTTAAATTTAAAGAAAAATCATTTTGGAACGGTACCAAAAATGATATTCTGTACAATAAAAACGAAATTTTTAGAAATTCCTAAAGAAAAAACTAATTATCTACTAAATAATTTATACAGGGTGTCGAGAATGGCACATAAAAAGAATAGAAAACCCGTATTAAATCACGTTTCAAAATAAAATGGTAAAATTTGTTAACTATAAAAAATTCTATATAAAAAACTATTTTTTTTTAAATATTTATTTATTAAAATTTAAATTTAAAGAAAAATCATCATTTTGGAACGGTACCAAAGATGATATTCTGTACAAAAAAAACAAAATTTTTAAAAATTCCTGAAGAAAAAACTAATTATCTACTAAATAATTTATACAGGGTGTCGAGAATGGCACATAAAAAGAATAGAAAACCCGTATTAAATCACGTTTCAAAATAAAATGGTAAAATTTGTTAACTATAAAAAATTCTATATAAAAACCTGTCATAAAAAGTTGACTTTTACAGTATATTTATTAAGTGTCAAAACAAGTTTTTTCACTCAAAATTTTCTCTTTACATTTTATAAACTGTGGCATACAGTTTTCGAAAAAATTTTGTTTGATACTTGATTGCGAAATTCTTTTGCATTATCTAATGATTTTTTTTGCTATTGCTCAAAAAAAAATGTTATTCTCGAATGCAAAAGCCGCAATCTAGCATCAAAAATAACTATTAAACGTTATATACGTATATCCCGTGCTTCTAAGAAAAAAATAACGGAGTTTGAACGTAGGCAACCATGATTACAAGTAGGCTTCGCTTTATCAATTTTTTACTGTTGTAATCATGGTTGCCTGTACACTAATATCATTATTATTGCTATATTTATAAGTAACTAAATATCTTCTGTGATTAACCTTCTACTAGTCCTATGTTAAAATGATAGACTCCATTAATTCCATTACTATAAAATTTAACATTGTAAGACCAAAAACATCTTGTTGATTTTTGGTATAAATGTCAAAATGGCTTAACTCAGTAGATTCGCCAGTGGTAACTTTTAAAAAGTCAATTATACTGATTACAATCTGCCATAGCAAGTTTTTACTTTTTAGCTGAAAAAATTGCCCAGTCTCTATTTGGACAAGCCAAATGCGAATGTTGTAATATGACCTTCTTATTATAGAAGTAGGGCTTATATTAACAAATTGATTATTAATGACTGGGCCATTTTCTCCTAGTCCTTGCATTATTTAATATAGCTGCCATTTTATTTAGTGTAATAATAAACTCATTATGTACCTGTACATAAATAGTCTTTATTAATAAATGTATATGTATGTATAGAGCTGTGCGGAATAAAGTTGTATAAAATTAATAAATAAAACGTAGTATTTAATATTTGCCAAATAAAGTCTTCTTTTTATATTATTTAATTTTCTTTGTGACAAAAGATTGTAATTTTTATACATTGTATAAAGTAGGTGTAATAAATTATATTTCAACAAAAAATCTTTTATTTTGAAGCACATTTTTGGTGAAAATTTATCTAAAAGTGATAAGGTCTCAAAATAAAAAAAATATACTAATTAAAATTTACCCAAAGAAAATCGTAACTGTTCAAACAAAACCAATAACCACTAAAATTAACAAGTAAACAACCATCAATTAAATACTGTGAACTTCAGAGACATTTATTAATATTATGTTTGTAATTTTCATTCCATATTACATTTTTTTTTACATGAAATAAACAGTTTGTTTCTTCTGCGACAATTACTCTGTCTTACAAGGATTTTGCAACAGCTGGGATATTTTTTTCGTGTTCAGGGCACCCAAAAACTTGAAAAAGGCGAAACAAACGGAGGTTAGACGAAGAATTTTTTTGCCAATAGAGAATTTAGGAAATTTAATAAGGAATATTTTTATATATTTGCCGAATAAAAATTATGTATAAATTATTTAATAACAAGAGTTCATACGTAAAAGTCAATAAAATTTAACAAACATAATTTTTGACAATTTTGCAGTTTTTGTTGTAAATGCGAAAATAAACGTGAAGATTAAAAATTCAATTCCAAATATATAAAAATATTCGTTATTAAATTTCCTAAATTTTCTATTGCCGAAAAATTAAACAATTTTTCAAGTCTAAATATATCAAAATGTTCGTTATTAAATTTTCTACAATATTGGGGGGAAAATTGGGGTTATCTCGTACGGTTGTATTGATTTTTAAAGTTGAAGTTAGACATACATATATGACGAAAATGAGGTTTTCGTTTAAATTTAAATGAATAAGTCAAGTAAAAGCTTAAAATTTGCGCAATATTGTATTCTTCAAGAAAAAGTAAGAATTGTTCATATCTCGTGTAAAAAAACAAGCTTTTTTTAATTTTATCATAAAAACAGAAAATTGCCTATTAGAAAAAAAATATTTGGCTGACCTTTTTTCGCATTTTTCAAGTTTTTGGGTTCCCTGAGCACAAAAAATATCCCAGTTTTTTATATGTTAACAATTTTATGATACACCCCCTGCGCACGGCCCTGCTTAGTACAGTCAGTCTGTTTTTTTATGAATCGTTTTATATCGTTTCATATTGGTCTGACAAGTTTTAAAACAAAAAATTTAAAGCTTAACATTTTTTCTTTTAACACTTTTTATCCGACCAATAGAAAATGAGATAAAACGATAGAAAACTTTCCATTTTTTAAAATATTGACCAGCAAAAAAGGTAAGTATACTTATGAAAAAGGTAAGTATACGGATGACGTAAAAGCATATATTATCAATTCACGTACTATGCCCTATCTATATTCTGGTTACCTCCCACTGACGTATGCTGACGTTTAAATGACGTTACTAACGTCATTTAAACGTCAACAGACGTCACTTAAACCTAGGCTATAGACCGCGAATTCTATAATGTTCTGCGTTTTGAGATCAAAAAGGCTTTTCGAATTTGAGGTTAAGTCATCTGTCAAATTAATCTTCTCTTTCATAAGTTTTGCCCATTTTTTTTCAGAATTTTATGGAAAGCTTAAATTTCAGTTCCATTTTCAGAATCGCAATCGGAAAATATTTGGACAGTTTTTATGGTTGTCATTAAATTTTAAAATTAAATATAGGTACCAACCAAACTTTGTGAAAAAACACGCTTTAATTGTGATTGTAGCCAAGCTAATAAAAATAAAACCCAGTTAGTTTGGGCTACCGTATGTGAATTGATTATATTCCTGTGATAATAACAAATAAAAATGCACCTATAAATATCTTATTCTTGTAGCGTTCTTGTTACAAAGTCAAGCGTTTTACGCACCATAACATACGACAAAGAAAATCAAACAACTTGGGGCCAGAAAGAGAAAAAATAATTATTGAACTTTATGACTTGTGCATAATTTTTATTATCGAAAAGTCAATAACATCTATGATGTGGCAATACAAAGTATTTAGATTATGGGATGTAAATAATGTTATAATAATTATTTTAATTATTGTAATATATTTGTTTGTTTTTAATGTAAAGTTGTTAGTTTGTGCCATAAATTAATGTTTACACTTTAATAATTAAATGTACAAAATTGCAAAAATGTTAGTTTTTTTTTAAATTGATATTATTTTTTTGTTCTTAATACAATAACCATGTCAAAATATCAATTATTTAGAATTTTTCAATATTCCTAATACGGAGCCAGTCGCCAAATTCCATCCAAACCCTTTAAAGAGTTTGGTCCACTCGTTATAGATTACCCTGTATATAGAAGTAAAATTAGAGCCTAATAAAAGCAGTTTTCAAACGAGTTTTGCCCCGGTCAGAGCTGTCAGAAAAAAGTATCTTAGTTACTTTAGAGTAACTTAGTTAATTTAAAGTATCTAAGTTAATGTATCTTAGTTCCTTTATTTTTTTAACAAAAAGTATCTAGTATCTTAGATACTTTTTAAAAGGAACTGTATCTTGTAACTTAAAAAAAGTATCTTAGATACCGAAAAGTATCTTAGATACCAAAAAGTAACTTAGATACCAAAAAGTAACTTAGATACCAAAAAGTAACTTAGATACCAAAAAGTATCTAAGATACCACAAGAAAAGTTCCTTTAGTCAAGTTGTCCGAAACGGCCGCGGCCATCGAAGTTATTATAATAAGTATACTGGCGACTTCAGCGACTGGCGGCGATTTTTGTTATACCTACTTAATTTTTATTCACCTATACTTCTTTTATAATCTGTGACTTCGCCACCCGCTCTGTAGAAGGGTGTTTCCGTTCGTTGCGACTTGAATTTATAGACTTACCACTTAGTGGTAGTCTATTAGTGGTAAGTCTGAAATAAGTTAGGTTAGGTTACCTAACTTAGGTAAGTACTTGCACTTGCTTCTTTATGATGTATCTATGTACAATGTATGTTTTCCATTTTAAATTTTAAATAATGTTAAAAAAGATTAAATGAAAAGTGTGGGATAATTTTTTTATTTTTATAATTAAGTGGTGTTTAAGTAACGATTTTATCTCTTTTTATTTTTAAGATATTTTAAAAGTGCCTAAGTTAGACACTTTTTGCATTAGTATAGACCCTTCAATGGTTTTAATTAACTAGATTTTATTGAACAAAATTGTTAAAAAAGTAAGCTTAAAATTATTTGAAAAATCAGGGTGGGGTTGGAACGAATTTTTGTTGGGCGGTTTATACGAAACTTATTACATAATATACAAAGTAACTAAAAAAGTATCTTATTAAGTATCTTAAAAAGTAAAAGTATTTAAGTTCCTTTTTTTAAAGAGTAACTAGATACGCAAAGTAACTTCGGATACTTTTTCAAAAAGTAACTTATCTTGTATCTAGATACTTTTTAAAAGTATCTTTGACAGCTCTGGCCCCGGTAGACTTAAAACTTTGGAACAATATTCTTTACACATTGTAGTAGCATACTATCTATATATAGCTATAGATAAAAAATGTTACCCCTAGAGTACCTATACTAAAAGCTACAGGCTAGATACTCCGGGTCGTGTTCTGCCCATAGAGTAAGAGTCTCTGGTTCTGCCTCCATGTTGGCGGCCCTGCGGGGTGCAGGCATCGATCCGACGAATCGCAGTGCGCGCAGCCGCCAACAGGATCCACCGCCTGCTTTTCGACTTGTCAGTGTTTATCGGGGGTCAGCCTAAAAGACTACTTTGATAGTCTTATCTCGATTTCATCAATGGACACCGCATCGCACAAAAGTGAGTACCAGTCGTTTCTTAAACGAGTATTTTTGTTTCGATGTTTTTTGTTTTTGTGTAATTGATGTTCAATTTTAGTGAGATTTTGTGTTTGGGAGGGTAGTGTGATATAAATAGGGATGTTATGATATAAATCGATGTATTTACATGGTTATCAAATATTGACTTTATTAACATACATTTTGTATTTATTTTGATGAAAATTATTAATGAATTTTTTATATTTAATGGAAACTTATTATAAAAAATATTTAACATTTTGACCTGGGGCAATATTTTGTTATTTAAATTGAATCTTAAATCTTAAAATATTAATCATTTTTATGGTTGTTTAATGACTTTTTATCATACATGCATTAAACATATGTTTAATATCAATATTAAATTTGCTATAATTATATCTTAAAAAGTAGGTAATGTTTACAAAGTTAAGTTAATAATTTTTTGTGATATACTTTTTTAACCAATTTTTTTTAATAATTTTATAGATCACGTTTGTATACTTTTGTCCAGTAAATTTCGCACTATAGTTGGAACGATATGCCACGCTGTAGAGGGTTATTTTAAGTATAAAAAACATTTATATTCACAAGTAGTTTTTTTAGATGTCAACTAACTTATGTTTTTAATTAAAACTAACTTTAGCCCAAAAGGGGACTGATAATTTGGACCCCCTCCCCATTGGTGAGATTTGGTGAGATGTGGTATCCCTCACGTGAGATTTTAGCCATTAAACTTTCTTTGCGGACAGAATGTAAAAAATGATTAATTTTTTTTTAACAAATTTAAATTATAATACACATTTTGTAATTAATTTTTAAACCCTCACAACTCAAAAATTACTAAAACCAATATAAATATTTTATAATTTTTTTTATACTCTGCCCGTCAAAATTAATGCATAATTCTAACTCTAAAACGCCTTTACCAATCTTTATGAAATTTTGTATAAAAATACTTCAACTTATATCTCAGTTTACGTGTTCGAGGGTTTTTCGAGAAAATACTTGTAAAGCCCTTTTATTTAATAATAAAAAAACGTTCGAAAAATAACTTTTAGGGATTTTTTTAAGTAAATAAAAAATATGTTGTTAAAGACCGTATTTTTGTAAGTATATCCTGAAAATTTTGTACAAATCAAACGAACAGTAACGAAGATACAGCGCTTCAAAGTCGGTAAAAATGACCCCTTTTTGATTATTTTGCCGAAAAGTGGTCATTTTTGACGACTTTGAAGCGCTGTATCTTCGTTACTGTTCGTTTGATTTGTACAAAATTTTCAGTGTATACTAACAAAAATACGGTCTTTAACAGCATATTTTTTATTTACTTAAAAAAATCCATAAATGTTATTTTTCGCACGTTTTTTTGTTATTAGATAAAAGGCCTTTAGGGATATTTTTTCGAATATTTTCTACAAAATATCATAAAGATTGGTAAAGGCGTTTTAGAGTTAGAATTTTTTTACTTATTATGCGTTAATTTTGACGGACAGTGTATGTACCCTGCGTACACTGGGTTTCGGGACAGCCTGTATATTTTTAAACTTTGCAGTACAAAAATAACAAAATAACTGTTTCTTTAATTGTTTTACCACCATTATTTGCATTTCTAGATTCTTTGATATTTGAGATGTTTTTTTAAACATTTTAAGTGCTTTTGTATTATTAATTTCGTTATTTGATACCAATATTTTGTTGATCTAGACGTGTTTTTAAAAATGTATTATGTAGGTATGTTTATAAATATATTTTGTTTTTCTTTTACTTATTATGATTTTTTAAAAGAATTCTACGTAGGTTGCTTTTTGTCTAAATAGGTAAAGAAGCTATTAATTTTTTAATAATTGCATAATATCCAGTAGATAATCATTTTTATGGTCTATTTAAATATCTTGCATGATTTTAAAATGTATTTAAAAAAATAATTAGTGAAAGTATACTAATTTTAATACACCCCAATAATCCAAATTTAAATATTCTACTATAATTAAATTCATTTTTGTCCAATAAACGTTATCAAGGCTAGAATAAAAAGTTAAAATTTTAATAAACATCCCTGCCTATTGTAACTTGCAAAACTTTGTAAAATGTTCATTAATTTCGCGTTATAAAGTTTTATATTAAAGCTTGTGTAATAAGTCGTATAAAGAAGAATAAAGATTTAAGCTAAAATTAAGTTAAATTTATTGTTTGCTCAATTTACAGGCCCGGATCTAATTTTACACTCCATATACGACATTCAGAGGTCAGTTTTGGCCGCACCCTATATAGGTACAGGTTAATTCAACACACCTTTTAAATTTTGCGCGCTGGTTTGGCGAGCCGACCGAAGAAGTGGTTTGGAAAAATTAAATGAAAGGGTTTTCAACCATTAGCAAAGATGAAAAAAAAAAATAAATGATCATTTAGTTCAAAATGGATTTATAAATTTAAAAGTGTCGTGAAATGCATTATTCATAAAAATAATTTGCAAATAATAGTACTTTAAGTTTAAGTAGGTACTGAACTTTAATACTAGAAAGTATGCCCAACAATTAAAACACTTTTTTCAAGTTTATAACAAAATAAGTAATAATTTTTTAAAATGTCTGTTTTTTTCAATTTTCATAGGGAAAACCGTATTTTGGCTCAATCAGTTTATCCGTAAACAATAAATCATTTTCAAAAACATGGTGCACGATATTTTAATATTTTAAGATTAGATCAACATGCTGTTAAAAAAAGGAAAGATTGTCTGGGCTTGCAATTTTCTCAATTAAAAACACAAGCACTAAATTTTAAGGATGTAGTAGATATGTTTGCTGATATATATGCACGCAAGTTAATTTTTAATTTTAGCAATTTAAAAAAAAATTCCTCTTATTTTACTCTGATAAAATTAGGGGCGGCAACTTGCACCTTTGCCCCCCCCCTTAAAAATGTAGATTCGGGCCTGTCAATTTATTTCGAGTACGAATTTTGCCTTTGTTTCAAAATTACATCTGTCAAATCCAGTTGATCCACTTCATCTATTCAGCAATAATATATTTAATTACTGGACAATATATTCAATGCAATTTCGCTAAATAAATATCGGGATGTTAAACCCTATAATCCCAAAAAGTTGAACCAACTGGCAATTGATCCCATCGGACTTAACTTAGTTGAAAAACTTTTTGAAAAGATTACCTAAATGCGTTTTCCATTGGGGTTTAGCAGATTACATAAAGTTTGAATACGAATTTTTGCGAGTTTTTTCTTTTCTTTAAAAATTTAAATGTTGCAATTTCCGTGCCCAGCAAACACATACCTAAGTCTGATTATGTAATGGCCCATTACAAAGTTTCATGGCTTAATAATGACATTTTTAGTCAAAGCTTTCCTTGTACTTTCCTTGTACTAGTCATAGCTTTCCTTGTACTTGCCTTTACAGGAATGTTTTACCTACCACATTAATTCCACCATAATAGATACTTCACTTATCAATTAAACATTATTTAAATAACCACTATAGAATCTTTAACACCCCATATCAGAAACTTTAGCTTGTCACATTTGAACCTTTAATCTGCCATATCAGAACCTTTAGCGCGCCAAATCAAAAAATGGAATGGTTCTTTATAAAAGCAATATATTGACTGCCGTTACATGCCCCTTAAAGGTGGACGCGACATAATATGTACAGTTCCATTAGAGTTAGCCTATAAATAGAAACGAGATATATTTATAATATATTTGTATATTTATAGAATTCTCAAAACCAATTATTTCGCTGCAATTCCAAAACCTCCAAATTTTGATTTTATGGAAATATTTATTTTTGTTTACTTGTATATAAATATTTTTAATATTTCTCTTTACCTATTATTTTATAAATAGAAACAAGATATATTTATAATATATTTGTATATTTATAGAATTCTCAAAACCAATTATTTCGTTGCAATTCCAAAACCTCCAAATTTAGATTTTATGGAAATGTTTATTCTCATTCATACCACCTACATATATTATATTATTATTATTATTATTATTGTAACGTTTTTACTATTCGCAGTGTGAATCAAAACACGCACTGGTTTAATAACGAACTAACTAAACGATTTATTTTATAACTTAATTACACTTAAAACACTAAGAAACTATAAAACTAACTACTAATTATAATAATTTATATTTCACTACTGTACAAGAGGCATTTATTTTCACGTATATTTATTTATTTCGTCGCGAGTATCAAAGCTTGACTAACTCCGTGTCGCTTCGCACTGCCTTATATTATATTCAATGCTTACTTGACCCAAGTCACGTAAGCGCCTTCCCGAATATTCCAGCGAGCTCCGCACCGCTCTCGATCGTTCGATGAGTCATCATTCCGAGATCCAGAAGGGTACTCGATCGCTACATTATTATTATTATAATATTATTGGTTACTTACTTATATGATATTTTTAGGGTATTTAAGATACGTTTCCATAGAAACCTTTGACTTATGTCAACTTTACTTTATTTTTGTAGGTTTCCATTGGATAGTTTACATGTGATACAAGTCAGGCTCAAAGATATTAGTACAAACAAACAACTCTGCAAGATGAATGAACGCTCAAAGAAAGTCAGCTCCATTTTCAGAAGACTTTTTAAATCCTCCAACAAGGAAGGCGAAGGTCCGAGCAAACCGTCTCCTTCGGGGAGCGGTTCTCCTGGTAGAAGACTCCTCAGAGGGTGCCGGGATCAAGTTTCCCCTGCGACTCCACAGGGGAGTCCCGGATTCAGTGCCAAGGGAAAAAAAGGGGGGGAGGAAGTTCCCGCCAATAAAACTGTGAGAGCTAGACGGTTGATGAAGGAATTCAGAGACCTACAGAAGCTTCAGAGCTCCAAGAAAGATCCGGTGTTTACGGTGGAGTTGGTTGATGATAACCTATTCGAATGGCACGTCAAAGTTTGGAAAATCGACTTGGAAAGTGATCTAGGGAACGACATGAAGGAACTGGGGATAAACTTCATTCTACTGCATCTTATATTTCCTGAAAACTTCCCGTTCGCTCCCCCCTTTATGCGTGTAATATCCCCGAGGGTAGAAAAAGGGTTTGTTATGGAAGGAGGGGCTATTTGCATGGAACTGCTGACCCCCCGGGGTTGGGCTAGTGCCTATACAGTTGAAGCCGTCATAATGCAGTTTGCTGCAAGTGTAGTGAAAGGTCAGGGTAGAATACAAAGGAAGAATAAAGGCCAAAAAGTGTTTTCACGAAGAACTGCCGAGGAAAGTTTTAGAAGTTTAGTTAAAACCCACGATAAGTACGGTTGGGTGACCCCCAGTCTAGCTGATGGTTAATTTTACTCAGATCAAATCCGTTCCGATTTTAAACATGTTATCTGATTTTTTTCAGAATAGAATATTTTATAAACCACTGAGAGATCCTGGCTAAAATAATAACTAGATTTTTTTTTCATGAACCATATCTAGCACATTCAACAATGTTACCATAACATAGCTAGTTAAAACTGTATAGTGATCTTTAATGATTTCTAATTGTCTATCTATTAAAAATGTGCATAAAACAAATCCTTACGATAAAGACAAATTGTGCGATATCGTCACAAATATGCATTTTTTAAGAAAAAAGTTATTTACAAAATATATGCACAATTGTATTTTCTACAAAAAGTGTTATTATAACTTTTCCTTAAAGTGGCCACAAAGCAAGATATTTTACATTTTCGAGCCCATTGTCAAAAACTAAAAACACAAATTTTGTGATATCGTCACAAATATGCATTTTACAAAAAAAGTTATTTTTTAAAAAATGTGGAATGTTATTTCAAAAAACGCCATTAAAACTCAAAAAATTGCCACAAATCAAAGAATTTTACATTTTAGTGGAAAACTAAGGGATTGTTTTATAAAAATAATTATAATTACAATATATTCATCTATTATACTCGTGTTTAGAGAATTTAGTACATATACATGTATGTTACAATAATCAAAAATGATATCATAAAATCAATTTCATTATACTTTCCAGAAAATACGTATTGTTATCAAAATGCCAAAATTGATCTTATTGATTAAGATATCTAGTAAGTAAATTGATTTTAAAATTTATATTAGTAAAATAATAGAAAAAAATACTGTTATATTTTTCGAAATGTTACTTATACAATATAAATAAGTATAATTTTTAAATTAATTAAAAAACTAGCCCCAGTATTTATACTTATAGTTAAGTTGATTGTTTTGTGATATTAGTTAAGTTTTTGAAACAATTTTCGCTCAATTTATTTTAAATTAAAATTCATTGCATAAAACATAAAAGCTCAAAAATTTATTGAATATTACGTCTAGTATACCAAAAAAATGTAAGTTAGGCTCATAAAACATATATTTTGTGTAAAAAATTAATGTTAACATGTCCATCAGTATTAAAATAATTCCATTGTTAGTGCTATTTCATCTTAAATTAGGTATAATTTACTTTTTATACATATTTTTCGTCTTCCATGTTATTTTCTTTATTTACAAATAGATTTATTCTATTTTAAATGGTTGTTATTTAAATATATGTAATATGTGTTGCATAAATTGTTGTTTTATTTCGATTTTTAATCCAGCAGCCTTAGATCACCACAGATCACAGGTTTTATATAGTTATAAAAGTACATCATAGAGAGCGCCAGTTACTTTTAAAATAATTTTCGGTGTATTTTTATATATTACTAACAGCATATTTTACACACTCGAGTCATTTTGTGGTTTTAAAAGAAAAGAAACCGTTTTATTATTTGGTTTTTTTGCGACAAAATCGCTGTTGATAAATTCTCGTTCTGCATTGCCGGCATTTTCCAACTGTCAGTGACAGTTTTTATATTTTATTATTTAAATAATTACTCCGCAATTTAGCACAGTTGTTGCTAAATTAATAAAAAATCGTGCGATTTAATTTTTGTAACAGTTAACACTAGAATAACACAACAAAATGCTTATCAAAGTAAAGGTGAGTTTGAGGTTAAGTTGTTATAACTTGTGTCTTATTTAGTTATTTCTTGTTTTATTAGACATTAACTGGTAAAGAAATCGAAATTGATATTGAACCCACCGATAAAGTGGAAAGAATAAAGGAAAGAGTAGAGGAAAAAGAAGGAATTCCACCCCAACAGCAACGATTAATTTTTTCGGGGAAACAAATGTAATACTGTAACTTTTTAGTTTAGCAAATACATTAATAAATATTTTTTAGGAACGACGAAAAAAACAGCACAGGACTACAAAGTTCAAGGGGGTTCTGTACTGCATTTAGTTCTGGCTTTACGTGGTGGTAATAAGTAATTTAACCACTTGGAATTTTAAATTATTCATTCATTATTTGTGCTAATTAAATAAGTAATAATGTATCTGTATTATTAAATTTTTATTTTGTAAATTAATTTTCAATATTTGATATGTAGTGATCTATATAACCAACATACTCTAGTGAATGGCACCAGTGTTTTTTGAGGAATGTGATAAATAAGAAGAGAATAAAATGGATAAAACGGTTTTAGTAAATACCCTTTGTGCTTTAAAGTGCGAAAATCTTGAAGGTAGGCCTAATTACGTTAAAAATATTGTTTTATAGTAAAAATAACAATCTTAACCTAAAAGTCGGTGTTTCTATTATAACGCCATCTATTGAACAATAGTCAAACCATGTTTTCTTTCAGAATACGAAAATGAAGAAATCTTGACGAAAAAAATATATGCTTCCTATGAGGATTTAAAAATCAATGAAAATACTGTAATAGTTGAATTTAGCAATATACCCGATGTAAATTTTAATCAAATTCCATCAAAAGAATGGCAATTTCTTGCTTTAAACTTCTACATCCTCAAAAAACTCAACGAAAAATTGAGTTCTTCAGATACAGAAATTCTGAGTGTTCAACAAGCTAAAACTGTTAAAATTTGTATAAAAGATTTGGTTTCTGTGGGGATTTTAAAGAATTTACAACCAAATATGCCATTTTGTGTAAAATCTAAGCAAAATTGTGATATTATTTTGACTTACAACATTTTAAAATCATCCACGTTGATACTGTGCGATTTTTTGAGTATGCCTGAAATAAGATTGTTATTATTACCGGATTCTCTGCAAGCTATATTGGTTTCTATATATCAAATATCATATTGCCCGCTATTAAAACCAAATACAACTTCAAAATCAGGATTTTTTATGTCTGAAGAAATGCACACTAATTTCACGCGGGACAAAATTAAATTTAGAATTATTTTGACGAATTTATCCAAAAATATACATCCTGGTATTTTTGTGAAGGAAACCATGATAATATTTCAGGAACATTCACCAGTTTGGTTTAAAAAATCAGTTTCACAGACGTTAACAAACACCATAAAATCAAAAAATGGCGTGGAAAATATTGCTCTTGCACTTTTGGATGGTGCAAATGATGACTCAACTAAAATCTGGAAAACTCTGGAAGTGATTTCAAAATTGTTAATAAGTTGCTCTGGATTTCCAGAATTTAGGGAAAATATAGCAAAACAAATAATTTCTTTACTGGATAAAGTTGAAGATGACGTCGTATTTGAAAGGATTTTTACCCATTACACTAAAACTTTATACCAGTTTGATGAGTTTCTATGTAAAGATATTTTTGTTAGAAGATTAGTCAATCCATTTTTAAAATTTTGTTATAAGGAGTATAAAATAAAAGACAACACTGATATTACTAAAGAATTATTACAAAATATTAGGATTTTGTTTGATGTTTTTCATTTAAACTCAGGTGGTACCAAAAATTTGCCTATAGAGATTTTACAACCCATTTTTAACGTAATATTTAGACTCTATTGTATCACGAGAAATATCTTCAAAACAACCCAAAATGAACTTATAAAGATTATATTAGAAATCTTTAAAAGTTATAAGAATAAGTTTGATATTTTTGACTCTTTCTTATTTGGTATATCTTTACCCAACATAAGTCAATTTAGAAGTGATATAACAGTAAATATAGAGGCAGAAACCATCAAAATAAACACCTCTAAACACAAAATTACTTATCCTGTATCAGACAACGCAGAATCAATTTTGGAAATCCTGAAAAACCAAGAAAACCTCCAGGTTGAATTATTTGGATATCTCCTAAACTGCATAACACAAAAGGAGAAATATTTCCCCAAAGAAAACCTTGAGTTACTAGGGGTCGAAAAGGAGTTTATGAACGATTATTTCGAGAGAAGTTTGACCGTATATAAGTTACTATCAGACCTGGCAAATGATGAAAAAACACAGAAAAAAATAACTGAAAAACCTGAAAATGTAATCAAGTATATTAAAAATGTTCTGGTGAAGACTTTGGAGGTAAAAACACATCAAACTAAGGATTGCGATTCTGAATCCTTTCAGTCTGTTTTTACTGTAATAATGATACTTCAATCTCTTACTATAAATGAGGATAATTTGGGTAAATATAAAGATTTGGAAGAACCTTTAGCAAAAATATACGAAGAGACCACAAATAAAGAATTACAAGATCTTATACAGTCAATTCTTGATACTTTAAATGGGGAAAAACCGAAATCAACTAGGCTCAAAATTGATGAAACTCCAAGTGAGCTTGATAAGGCTATAGAAGATGTATGTGATCCCTTAATACCGGTAAGAGGTCACGGGTTAATGGCATTAACTAAACTAATTGAAAACAAGGATAAGGGGGTTTTGGAGAAAAAACAATACGTATTAAATATCTTTCAGGTATCTATCGAATATATTCTAAAGATTCTTTATAAGATGCCTTTTTTGCAGCAAAATCTTAAAAACGTCGATTCATACATCTATTTAAGTTCAATCGGTGGCCTAGCTGCAATGGCGGATATTTTCCCCGATACTATTTTGAACATATTATGTGAAGAATTTACAGATTTTTCCAAAAAAGACGATGAAGATGGACAAGAGGTCCGAACCAAGTTGGGAGAGGTTTTGGTACGAGTTACAAAAAAATTAGGTAAGAAATAAGAAATAGTAGTTTACCAATATATACAGGGTGTCCCAATACATCTTATTTCATGGAATTTTTGCGCTTAAGTTCTACTATAGTTTTAAATAAAAGACAATGTGTAGTTCAAACGAATACAATTTGCCGTATCTAAAACGATTCAGCTATAACCGTAACGGCGTTTAGAGATTTATTAGTATTATAAACGTTTCGACATTAACGTTATATAATAATGATTGAATGATTTTCGATACCAAGAGATTCACAGCATTAATGCACCGTGAAGAAGTTATAGAATGTCCTAAATATATATTTATATTTACATGAATTTCGTAAGTCATTTACTGAAATAAAAATGTAAAGGGTGACATAAAGGTTCCTTGTGGCCCTCTCAAATTCGGAAGTCCGCAAGGTACTTTTATGTGATTGTTATTTTAGTAACTTAAGAAATTCACATTTAAGTACATTATAACCGAAATTTACTGTAAATTATAATAAAAGTAATTTTACAATGCGTGCTTTACGGTAAGATAATTAATATACCTACTTATCAGCGTCAGACAGTTAGATCTTTTATTACATACGTTCCCATATTTTGTTCTCATTATTGTAATAAAAAGTGGCAAATTTGTAGTGATTAATTATGTAAACAATCAATTGTTCAACATAATAATTATCAATTATTTTTATTGTTCCCACATTTAACAACTCGTGGCGTACATACTTGAGATGCAAAAATTCTTAGTGCTTTTTTATTATTTTCGTCTTCGCAATATTTTTTTTTATTTCTCATTGGAGTTACAGCAATTATGGGTAATAAATTACGATGCAATGAAAAACTCGTAAATGTATTTTAAAAACACATAAAATAATATTATTTAATAATGACAAGTCTGATAGATTTTAAATTTATCTGTAAGGTATATTTCTGATATGAATTATTCATTTATAGATACTTGCATTCATTTAATATTCTGTAAATTATAGATTTATAAGTTTGTCATTTTGTTTGTTGACTCTTTATACAGGGTGATTTGTATTGAATATAGTTTATTTTAATTATAGGGGAAATGGCGCCAAAATATAAATCTCTACTTCTAAACACCTTCCTCAATGGTACGAAGGATGAAGACGAACTAATCAGAGCTTCAAGTCTGTCAAATTTAGGTGAAATTTGCAGGGTATTAGGCTACAAATTGGGCTCCATTATCACAGAGGTAAACAGCTATTTATCTATTATGTAATTTGTAATAGTTGAAGCATATCTCATTTATGCAAAAAAAATTAACGGGACTACTTTTATAACAAGTAAATCGTTGAGTGCATCATTAATTTTTCATGAAAACTTCGATGAACAAAGAGTTATTAGTATTGGTCAGTTGGACATATAGGTAATATGATCAATTTGTTGGGCATTTATTATAGAGGTTTTTGCTAATGTTACAGTTTTTGGCGAAATAATTTGGTTCAATAGGTGATATCTATTCTTTTAAAGTCTATTTATTTTACAGACGCGATAAATATAAATAGGCAATAGCAAAATAACGACTCACAAAGCAAATTAATTTATGTCCAATGTATGTTTTTCTATGGATATGGATATTCTGATGGATATATGCGAATACAATGGATATTTATATATTTATAAATATTTAATCCAAGTGTCATCTAGTTGGAAATCCATAGTACATCCTAAATGTAACATTCATGAGGTACCTATATCTAATGTATATTCCTGGGTCCTATCCATAACATTTACATGACATATTTTAAATGTACCTATTCAAAATTAATATACATATATGATACTATAGTATCTATAAATATAGATATTTTAAGGAATATACATAGTACATGAGACATATATATGTCTTATGTAAATTCGTGAATATCGCTAACTTATACATGGCATATTTAATGTATATTCAGAATGGATATATTTCTATATAGATACTTATGTTATATAATTATATATAGATATGTATATATAATACTATATAGATAGTATTATATATACATATGGGGAATTCGGATGGTTTAAAAAAAATTTTTTTATTTCTCCAATTTTTTTATATTTTTTAGTACTCCTTGCAAGAGCTTTCTCCGTAAATTTTGAGATTTTTTTGATCTAGGGTTCAAAAGATATCAAATTTTCATAAAACTGCATTTTTTTTGTTTTTCGCTCATAACTTTTTAAAAAATGGTCCAAATCAAAATGTTCCTTCTATATAAAATTTTCGTTTTTAAAGGTACTTTTCGAAAAAAAAAATATATTGGGAAAATTTGAAGCGTTTTAAGTCAAGATTTTTGAGTTTTAAAGTTTAAATCGTGTTTTTAAAAATGTGTCTTCTTCGATTTTCGCGAAAAATTTTTATTTTCAACTTCTATCTATTCAACAACTATTCAGCCTGGTCCGGTAGTGGGCCTTCCATAAACACTATTTTTTTTCGATTTTTCAAAATTAAAAAATTATTATGTTTCGAAAAAAAATAGTAATTATGGAAGGCCCACTACCGGACCAGGCTGAATAGTTGTTGAATAGATAGAAGTTGAAAATAAAAAATTTTCGCGAAAATCGAAGAAGACACTCATTTTTAAAAACACGATTTAAACTTTAAAACTCAAAAATACTGACTTAAAACGCTTCAAATATTTTCAATATATTTTTTTCGAAAAGTACATTTAAAACTTTTTATATAGAATGAACATTTTGTGGACCATTTTTTAAGAAGTTATGAGCAAAAAACAAAAAAAATAAGTTTTTTTGAAAATTTGATATCTTTTGAAATCTCAAAATTTACTGAGAAAGCTCTTTCAAGGAGTACTAAAAATATAAAAAAATTGGAGGAATCAAAAATTTTTTTTTATAATTGTATAAGTTATTAATTGAATGCACCGTATTAAAATTAAAATAAAAATCCTTAGTATTTATTATTTTATTTATATAAAGCCCCAAATCAACCTACTGAGGGTGGGCCCTGGGTCTTTAGTGAAGCTAGACTTTTGCTTATAAGTCTGATTATGTAATATCCCATTACATAGTTTTATGGCTTAATAATGGCATTTTTAGCCAAAGATTTCCTTGTACTGGGCCTTTACAGGAATGTTTTAATAAAAATATTAATTTTGATAAAAGGCGTGTTAAGGTCTTCCAATGGCCCTTTTCAGGCTAATATTTGTATATTTTACCATGAAAGACCCATATATGGCAATTTCCAGTATCAGGTTAATGGGACTTAAAAACCATTGTAGTGCCTAATATTTTATTGTGTATACAAACAAGAATATCGGGAATATCAATATCCATAGCATGCTATGTGTTGATAAATAATAATAACATATACTTATATTATATATAGACTATATATAGTATAGTATAGTAATAATAGCCCACAACAAGAGAAAGTAAATAAAAGACGCAAAGTTCATAAAATAATTATTTACTTTTGTACGAAGCACAAAATAATAATACTAATTCTTAGATCTTGGTTTGCGTGCACTGCATCATCACGACAGATAAGTCTTTGGAAGCAAGACGCGCTGCGGTTACAGTTATAAGACAGTTGTTCCTTGGCCTTGAAGACGAGATGATAGCCTTCCTTAAAGACGACATCCTGCCCGTATATAGAACGCTCAAACAAATCTACCAACACGACAAAGATGATGTCATGCGATTGCAGGCTCAGCTAGCGCTCGAGGAGCTCAACGAAAACATGAAGAATTTCGTCTTTCCCAAGCAGCAGCTGAACATGGAGAAGAAGATCATTATGCTCGATTAAGATTGTCAAAATAAAGTTTTTATGTTTTGCAATCACTGGTTTTATTTTGGGGTTCCACAGGGTTCAGTTTTGGGCCTGTTTTCTTTTTGGTTCCTTATAAATGACATTCCTAATACTGGGGTACCCCAAGGTTCAATTGTGTGGTCCATTATATCTGTAGTCCTTAAATACAATATTCTTAATTTTGTTTTGGGTCAAATTTGCTATATAGCATTATATATATATATATATAATATAATCGGATAAGAAAACCACGTTGTGTGAAATATTATTGGATAAGACATGATGGTAACAATGTTGTTATAAATGCATATTGGGATAGGTCGAGTTTATATTTATGAATAGGAGTGCATTAAGGTCCTTAATTTAAGGGTATTTCCTCGAAACCTTAGCCCTCCTTTACAAAAAATGAGATGTGTTATTTAACAAAATAAACTATATCTAAAGTCAAATAATTTAATTGCGACGTAATTTATATCCTTAAAATATTCGTACATTGTGATGCTAAAAAGCTAAAATTAAGGATAAACACGGAAGAGTTTCAATACTCGATAAAATGTTCAAATGTCGCACCCGTTACATTTTGAGAAAATTTTAGAAAATACTGTATACAATATTTGTGCATTTGAAATACGTGCTTGTTTAAGGTTACTATTCAAGTTTTACCCAAAAAATTATTACTATATGCTTTCATTCAAAATTTCACAGTATCAACTTTAGAAGCCAACGCATTTGTCGATTTTCTAAGGTCGCGCCCGTTACGCTATTCATAACGTTACAAAAGGTTTTCTATACAAGTTTTTATTGACATTTTGTTTGAGTTAAATACCTAATTTTTTATAATATTTTTTTATATTAACGTATCTTGATATATATATGAACAAACACTTTATTATTATGAAAAAACGCAGTTTTAGTGTCGCACCCGTTACAATGGAAATACCCTTAATTAACTTACCGTACACATAAAAATTACAAATAAGATAATTTATAATACGACAAAAAATATGTGACAAATTGTCTTCAAGCGACGCTTCGTGCGCAGCAGCGGTCGACTAACATTCGGCGCGAAACTCGCTTTGACTGTTGGTGAAAGCACTGCTGCCAACTGTATATAAAAATTGTACTGGTAAATACTATAGCACAGCAATAAATAAAACTAAATTTAAGTATGAATTAAAATTTATTATATAAAACCTTAAATACAAGTACAAATCACTAATACGTCAAAAAATAAATTAATAATAAATTAGTACATAACAATCAATTGCATACTATACCCGGTGTTCAAAACAAATCCAACCTCTTTATTAAACATTTCATCGTATTAAACAAAGAGGACTAAACACCTAGTATATAAAAATACGCAATAGCATTTCTACCTAACCAACTCAGCACATTAAATAACTATCATCTAAAAAAATAAGTATAAATACTGAAAATCAGAAGCAAATAACAATATCTATTAAGGAAACAAAACACATGGTGTTAAAAATGGTTTTAGTTGTTATGGAATGTATACAATTATAATTAGGTCAGTAGCGTTAACTATTTCATTTTATAATGTAAAGCTATCACCCGGTACATTTGCGTTAATTAATTAAATTGTAAGTTATCAGTCAGAACCCCCTTTTGAATAATGAGTTTACAGCAAACAATGTTCAGTCTCTGAAATATTTACCATACTGAATTATGTCGAATATATGATGAGATCAAAACCGATGTTTCTTTCTGATGGATGGAAAATTATTTATTACTAATCTTCGATTTGTTTTCACAAACAATATCCAAATCTGTTACAGTGCTACAACTGCTAGTTGATATTTCAGAAGCGATTGAAATGTTATCTAAATCTTCTAAAAGTCTCCTGCTGGTAAGTTTTAAAGCAATGGCTAAGATGCCGATGATACCAGCTATAGCAAGCATGGTTATGACGAAAATCGGTACTATTTGGTTTCTCTGCTGTGGCTGTCTTCTCACAGTCCCATCTTCCTTTACTGCAACAATAAAAAATATAATGTTTCTTAAACGTAAATTAAGTTTGCATCGTTGACTCAGAATAATGACAATTAAAATGTTAACTGGAACGTAACAAAAACGAATTCGTAATGTTCCACATTCAGTTGACATTTTTCCAATTAGGGTTAATTTTAAGAACAATAGGTATGTTCTTTATGTTATATAATAGTTTAAGACTAATTTTAAGTCGATTCAGATCGAGGTGGTCACGAATTGACAATTGTTTTTGCTCTAGGGCGTTTAACTGTTTTTCGTTTGTCTTAAATGGGTCGTATCGTATATTTAATTGCTGGTGTATTCTAACTTAAAAATTTTAAGAACTCTTAGAACTTGACAAGAAGACTTTCTGGACATCCTTCGTAAAACTATTGAACTTAAAATACGGAAAAGGATCCCACTGCAAATTAAATGGAGCTTGCCACGGAGATGATCTGTTATTACAGTATTAATGGGCGAACGGAGTCAGCAAATCATTATATTGTTGAAACATTTATTAGCCACGGTTGCGCGATTTAATTGACTTGCAGCATCCGCGTTTTAAACTCCTCTATTTATTGCCATCGAAGGTGCCTTGCCACTGCCAACTAAATCAACTTTTGTATTGGAGATTCTCGATTATTAGTCGTCCCTGATCTAAATGACCGATTAATTGAATTAATCGGTAATAGATACCAACCAATACTTTAATTGATTTTTATAAGGAATTAATTTAATTCCTTATAGAGACCAATTGAAGTATTGGTTGGTATCTATAGGTCTGAATTGGACTTACTGGGTTTAATTGGGAGCGATGTAAAACATAAATTGGATTCTACTGTTTTTTAGTGGTTTCGATTGCTTAAAGCTACCAATAGCAAATTTCCAATTGAATTAAATTGGGCATTCCCAGTGTAAGATTCTAGAAAGGAATCTTCTAATTGGTTATTCCCAATACTTTAAAATATGGAAAAGTCCAATTAGGATTCTACTGTTTTTTAGTGGTTTCGATTGGTTAAAGCTACTAAGGTAATTTCCAATTGAGTTCAATTAGGCATTTCCAGTGTGAGATTCTAAAAAGGAATCTGCTAATTGATTATTCCCAATACTTTAAAATATCGCAAGAGGGCTCTCGTCTAGCTGCGCAAAACCAATGTACGCAGTCCTTGTTCGAATGGTTGAGACGCCATCATAAAGAAACAAACAAAATGATTATAACCGAGTCACTTTATTTATTTTTTATTACATTTTTTGTGTTAGTAAGTTATATGTATCAATACATATCTCACTAAAACAAATAAATAATAAAGAAATAAAGTTATTTGATTCTATCGGTCATTTACACTTATCAACATTTAATGAACAACATAGTTCTGAATTAAGAAATAGAGGGCAGTATAAAAGCTATAAATGTATTTACAAAATCTAGAATTTTTAAGTCCAGACTAATTTAGTAGAAAGATTAGACAAACAATTTTAGACAGTTCTAAGTGTTAGAAGGTTGTAGACAATGATGTTTGTTGGATGACAAGAAGGTTTTGATTGGTAAGTATCTCCAGTCGTCTTTAGGTGAATACTAAATAAGTTAAGTAGCTACAGGTGTATTGTATGACATATTGGACAATAAACTCAGTATATGCTATAACAATTTTTTTCTCATATCGCATAATAACTGCATTAGTTATTACTAATGACACAACCATAACCAATTCAATTACTGGAAACCAAGTAACAAATATTTATTAAATGGTAAATGATTTTTGTAAGCCAAATAAAAATGTCTTCCATTTAAAAAGAGTTTGTTCTTAGCTCGAAACCACTTAACTTAAATCGTTTAAACATTTGTCTTGGAGCTCCCTTTCCCATCCATACTCGTGTACTTAGTACTTAAAGCAAAGCAATTACGTATTTCTAGACATAAACAGGTTAATGCATGAGCATGTTAGCAAAGTCGTTAAACCACTTTCCTATGCGAATTGTACACCAACAATACATATACGCTTTTTTAAATAGTTCAGCGGTTATCACTATGGTTAATTGTTGTTCTAAAACGAAGGTGACGTCAAATTGCGAGCAATTGACCCATGAAGGATTTATCAACATGGCGGTACAGTTATAACCAACTAGGTTAATACGAATAGAATGCATTGATGGGTGTACCCAAGTGCCAAATAGGATTTTAATTTTTTGTTAGATCTTGAAGTTGATATTGAGGTAATAAGGTCGAAATATGTTTTAGTAGATTTTGTTATATTGCAAGTCGATGCAATAAGGAGATTGCTAACAATAGCTTGAATGACTACTGGATGATTCATCAGAAATATTTTATTAAAAACTTGTTTCACCAAATAAGAATTTTTCATTTTTAATTATACTCCAATCTGTTAACTCTCTTAAAATGAATGAGTCAAAAACGACTACTTGTCATAGTGAAAAAGCAGCCACTATTTACTCACGGCAATTTGTATTTCGAATACCTTTTTAGCAGAAAATTCCTATGTAAAATCATCCGCTGAATCCGAAAATGTCGCCAAAAGTAAAACAGTTTTTGACTATATCTTGACTAAGTATATCTTAAAAACTTTTAGCAGGAATTTCGTATTTTACAAATTTTCGGGACACAAATTGCTGTGGACTACAGTTATTGCTCTACACTACTCTGTTATAAAAATCCGGATACAGTGAAATGGGTTAAAGTTACGAAATACATCAGTAAGTGTTATAATAGTAGGTACTGATATTTATATTGCACCAAATTTCTTTATAATTTGATGATTTCAGAATTGTGTGATATTTTTGTGTTCATTTATGTAAGTATGTTATTTTTTTGTTTAGAAAATTGATTAATAAAGCAAAATTTCTTTAAAAAATTCTTTTCATTTAAGTTCCCGATTTCCAACAAATTTTTTTGTTACTGGGTCTACAAAAAGGTTTGTAAAAATAAGGTCCTTTTTGAAAATTACAAGAATTATTGTTAAATTATTGACATGGAATTTTGTTATTAAATCTACAAAATGTCTGTTATAATTTGAATATACTTATAAATTTAGTTAACAGATTGCATCTGGGAATGATAATAAATTAATTTGACCAAAAACGTCTTATTAAAAAATGCTTTATTTAGAGCTCTTGAATAATTACTTTTTGATATTTATTATAGTATTTTATTAGTTTTCGGTATACCCAAGTAATGTGTTAGACAACTTGAAAGCTACAGTCCATACAACAATTAAATCGGTGAGTTCAAACATTACAAGTCCAAAATTTAAAATTTTGACAAATTATTTTATAAAATTATATTAGAAATATATTAAATATTATTATAATTATTTTTATAGTTTAAAATGCATTTTATAAAATAGTTAAAATATTCTAAAAAAATGCATTTTAAACTAAAAATAATTTCATAAAATAACTTTTTAAAAATTTAAATTTTGGACTTGTACTGTTCTGGATCTCACCGATTCAATTTTTATGGTGATGAAAAGCAATGACAAATAGAAAACTTGCACGAGATACAAAAAAGTACTGAGTCATGTCTGGTTATGATTCAGTGTAAATAATGCAGAAGGATTTGGAAAACATTTTTTAATGTTTAAAAAATAATAATAATTATGAATTGAATAAGTTTTTTAACGGTCACCAATGACTCATCATAAACCGTAGGTACCTACTAGGTACTTTAAATGGTTCTTGTTTTTAACTTTTACCGAAAAAATACAGTTAAAATTCGTGTACAACCCATAAATTTAATGATTTCGGCCAGGCAAACTGACAATTTAGCCGCCATCATCATTATTTTTACTATACTCTTCTTTTTTTCCAAAACCATGCGCGTAAAGAAACTGGTTAAGTGCCGAATGCTGTACCAGCTTAAAGATACTAAATGTCGAACATGTAGGAAATAAATTCTCTTGTATAACGTATGTTAATTGAACTTTTATTGGCAGGTGTACCAACGGTTTTTACTACAAGTAACTGTGATTATTTTTTTTTAGATTATTCGAACTGTATCAGATGTTTCAGATGAGTTTTTGCTGAATTAAATTTTAATGGGTGTTTAGTCATGTAATGTACGTCCTTGGTGGTACCTATAATATACAGGATCTGCATTTGAATGTGGGTAATTGGCAGATCAAAATACTAAAATATGTAAACATGTTTTTCCTGAATGAATGTGAATTTATCAAATTATACTATGAAAAAAGACTTGTTGATTAAAAATGCATTATTCATTCATTATGTAACTTAACACTTGCTCTGCCACTTATAAAGTTTCAAGAAAAACCGAAACCATGTTCCATTGTTGTGAAAACAATTAAAATTGAAACGTTTGAAATTTATAAAGGGTACAGTGGGAACTATAGCGCAGCACAGCTTTTCTACCGGCTTCTAATTCTATTGTTTTCAATTTTTTACCTTTGCGGCACAATAATAACATATTATAGCATCTATAGATAAAAGGTAGTGTGAACTCCGTAATGTTTTTAGTAATGGAACATTTAATAAGTCTATAGACTTATACATCATAACTTTTTATTTTGAATAAAACCGCCATACAGGTGTAACACATTCCATATCCATCTTAGATCTATTCTTACCGAGTGCTTCCGGTTTTTGCAACAACCTTCCTTGCCTGTGGTTCCTAGATTTTCTTCCGCTCGAGGCGTTGTTATCTTCTTCGTAGGGCACAGGCGCCATTTGGGCCTGACCACGACCGGCTGTCGGCAAATTGATGCCGGCACGTACTGTCAAAGTCTCCGGCTGATACGAACAAAGAACCAAAAACCTGCAAAAAAGTTTAGTTGCTTTAGTTTTTGATATAATATCATTATATCGGACATGTTTTCATGACACTAAGTTACCTTTTAAATATACATTGACAAGTTGTGGCTTTATGGCGCTTTAGTCACGGGATGAAGTTATTTTGCTTTCTATGTTTGTTTTGCTTCAAGGTCAATTTTAATTGGACAGTAATTTGTGGTTACTAATTTGGATTAATGGATTTGTTGTTTATTTTGGACTTATTGGACTTTCTTATGTTTAGTATGCGATATAAAGGATCACTTTCGTATTAAAAACATAGTTATTATTATATCCTGTTGGTAGTAAATACTATTTTAGACCAATTTTAATACAATTATTACATTTTAAGTATTTATTTTATTCCCTCTTAAGAGGTAAATCTTGTTTAAAGATAGAAGGATTTTATGGGCTTTTACCAAAATAAAAAAAGGTTTTTACTTTTACTCTAAAGTGCTCGTCACATATAATTAAATGAGTACTGTAAAAATATTATCGTTTTTTTGGTGTTGTTATGGTTCGAATTGTGAACATCCTGTTTTTAAATTTACGATAAAGTTTTACTTATAATTTTATTGCCTTTTTGATGGTAAACCTGACTTTTGACAGGTAGGTAAAATGGCCTTTGATGGAGTTATATAATTATCATAAAAAGTATTAAAGTAATAATAGTTATTGAAGGGAAAATATTCTCTTAAAAATAAAAAAGTTTTTACATGATTCTTTTGTGTTTTATAAGAAGTGTTTTATGGTTCAATAATTAATAAATTTAATTGTGGTCGATGATTTGAACACCAAAATTTAATAAAAATACAACCAAAAAAATATAAAAAATATTATTATTTTAGGCTAAATCTGTCAGTCAATGACTTTAAAATTCATTTTATAACTTTTACAATAATTGTTTCATAAAATAAAAATGATTATTTCCCTCATTATAATATGAACCAATCAAAAGCCTTGAATTTTTGAATAAATTTCGTTTAAATAAGCGATTAATTCACTAGAACTACTTAACAGCGATTAAATTTTAGCCTCCATATTGGATTTTTGTTTACGATTTTATGGTGTTATTTACAAGTTTTAACAAACATTTTTTAAAAAACAATAAAAAGTTATCTAGTTTACGAAATATCAATTATTACTTATTACATACCTTAAATTAATGGAATTTTCACTAGTAATACCACTAGAGGTCAAATTATTTCCGGAAATTTTTTCGAGCTCATGAATATTTTGAAAATTATCCCGAGTCGAAGACGAGGGATAATTTTCTAAAAATATTCATGAGGGAGAAAAAATTTCCGGATTTAATTTGACCTCGTGTGGTATTCGGTAAGAAAATTCCACACCAAATTGTGTTTAAATAATTAAAATTTATTTTTTGATTTAACTTGACCTCGACTTGATTATTTAGTTACCATGGCAACTAAGTCAACCCCAACCTAAAAGTTATTTCAGTTTTGAAGCTGTCAAGCGGCACGACGTAAAAAAATGTGAAATTGTCTGCTGTAATGATCAATCATCGTGCAATTACTTATTTACCCGCATTATTAGAGGATTGTGGCTCCTACTTGAAGAAAGAAAATTTGTTTTGAATTGATCACGAATATTTGCATCTTAACTATTCAAAACTCAAAATGCTAAATGGAAAAAAAGGTGAATAGAATAGTGTCTAAATATTATATATATTTCATTAGACATAGACATTTAATTTATTTCAAGTCCTGCATTTTCGCAATTAAGAAGAAAGGAGGTGTCCAACGAATATAGAAAACATCTAAACTTTGTAATGGAAATGTATCAAAATTATCATGTAAACAAATAAAAACCAGATTGTCAAACAAATATTCTGTCATTATAAACGTCAAAAAATTTCCAGTATAATTCGCTGTTGGGTACCCACGAGGAAAAAATTTCCACTAAAATTCAACCGTTGCCATGGTGATCTATCAAAAATACACGTTTTGATTGGTTAAAAATTACAGGTGTGGAATTTTCTTTAAAAAAATATTCATAAATTTTGACACATACGTCAGATTTTATGAATTGTCAAATAGTTTCCTTTAATTCGAGAAATAATCTAGACGTATATCACTCAACCTATAAATTTAATCTGTCAAACTATGCTCAGTAAGTTTTTTATTTGATTTTTCTTTTTGGAAAGCAGTTTCATGCAAAATAATCAAAAATAAAACCCCTCGACCGCTACGCGGTCTCGTGATTTTATTAAATTATTTTGCATTCAACATTAATTAAATTCATAGTTCTCGTGACATAATATATGAATAAAAACTAAATTATACAAATTTGGTACAAGGTGTACCTAAAATGCCTGTACAAACTTATGCAATATAAATAAATTTAAATTTATACCTTCAATAGTTGATAATAACCAAGATACAGGGTGTTAAAGTTAAACGTTCGTTTTCGATTTTACTAAATAACTATAGTTTTATAAAACGTTTTTGCACAAAATTTGATATTCGGGTTTTTCAGGACTGGAAAATTAAATTGTGTTGTAGAGGGTGCTGTCTGCAACACTTTTCATGCAATAAAATAATCACATCTCTTTTGCGCCTTAGTTCATATACAAAAGTTCATATACAAAAGTGCTCTTTTAGTTCCACCCTTACTTCCTAAGAAGTCCTCGAAGCCAACTGAATGGCTTGTGCGGGTTAGGGGTAGGAACGGACCGCGGGCTTAAAGTCCCCTCCGAAGGACCAAAATAGTGTATTCACATTTTAATAAAAATATTACTTTTTTCATCTTTATTACCTATAGGTATACGCAAAAAAACATATTATTTAAAATTACCGCATTAGCTGCAGCTGCAGTCAGTATTAAGCGGCAGCTAATAAAACATCAAAATGACAAATTTTAAAAATTAAAATAATACTAAATGTGAAAATTATTTTATTATCTCAATACAAAAATACAATATTTGAAAAGATTATATGAACGTTTGCACTTTTTCTTTAACTAGATTTAACTGATAAAGCGTTAAAAATTTGAAAAACTGCTTCTATATCGATTGTTAGTCTATTTTCAAGGGATGCATTTTGATTTACACAGAAAAATTTGAGATTTTACCTCCGGTAGATTCCCAAGTTAGAAATTCTAACGGGAATTCCAATAAATACAACTGTCACTTTTTGTACCTTTAACATTTCCCGTGTAATACTTTGTGATAATATTTTGCAATAATTATTATAGTACCTTATAAAAAAATCAAAGAAAAAATATTTTCTTAACATAATCATATTTTAATATTAAAGTATCAATAAATCATTTAAAATAATTACGGGCAATGTTAATGGTGAAAGTTACATTAAAAATGTTTATTGGGATGGTTACTTTATTTTCGTAGATGTCGGTTTATACAAATATTCTGCTCAAATTCCACGTTTACCGTGGATTTCTGAACTTTTAAAATCGCGGAAGATCAATAGAGGAAATCGCGACAAAACACTTTACTTTTTACAGTAAAGAATTAATTTTATAGCTAGCTTTTTTCCTCGAACACCTGGCAAGCGTCTAACATCAAACATTACACAACTACAACTTTTTCTCAATATTCCCTTAAACACCCAAGTCGACTTTTAAAGATCTTCTAGAATTGCAGACATCCTCTTTATTCATTCGGTTAATTCCCACTAATCCTATTAACTGGTATAATTATAAAAAAAAGTATTTTCTGTATTTAACCCAGTAAAAGCTTATATTCGGGACTCACCTTCTGGTACTGTGCGTCAAAATCGGCAAATTCTCTTGAACAATCACAAATGTGGCGACCGTGGTTTCGTTCACTTGGCTCCCGCACTCCGTGTGGTTGATTCTCAGGGTGTAAATGTCCCTGGGGCTGTTGGAGTCTCCATCGATGGCGCAACGTTCCCCATCGGGGCCTTCGACGGCTATGCGACCGCCGAAATGTGGACCAGTGGAAACTTCTATTTCGCTGGCTTGGGGAAGGCACTGGGTGGCTTTGGCAGAGACTGGAACAAAAACGCCATATAATAGATTTATTAGTTTAGAAAGATTGATAAGGTTTACAATGTTAAACACGTCCAACATTCGTCTCTCTCTTACTGCATTAATTATAAGGTAAATTTACGTTGTTTATAAAAGTAACACTCTTCTAAAGTCTATTCAAATCCAAGCTGGACTAAATGTAAACACAATCCTCCGAATCGACCAATCCAAGTCACACCATCAGAATCGACCAATAAGAACGAGTTATCATGCGTCTGGGTGTTTTTGTTTAGTCCAGCTTGGATTTGAATACACATTAGATGCAGAAAGGCATTCATAAATATAGTTATTATTATAAAACACTTCTATACCGTTTACAAAAACGTTTTGTAGTATTAATGAAACCCCAATGGTATTATTCATAGAAATTTTGTAAATTTTACAAATCCCTTTTCGTTTAAAATAAAACTTTTTTATAATATTTATAAAATGTATGTAAATTTAACAAAAAATTAATTGTTAATTCAATAAACTATTTTTATTGCAACAATGGTCACATTTTCATCCTACTGTTGGGTATTGGGTAGTTTTTTTTTAAATAAATGCAAGGCATTACAACAAATTATTTATTATAACAAAAAAATTAAGTCATATTATATGATGTACAAAATAAAAAAAATATGAACTCACTTTTTAAACAAGTCTGCTTCCTTTATAGAATATACCTTAAATGCTTCTTTTATCTTTTTGATATTTTTATCATGCTAAATTTTACCACACTTCACTCGCACAAGTAAAATCAATAAGTTTATAACGAGGGTTTTAAAATTTCTGGAAAAATTGAGCCGAAAAAAACCCGGAAAAATTGGGAAATTTTCAGAAAAATTGACTTTTTAATTTTTTAAATTTTATTCAAAGGGTAATACGAAAAAATGTAAATTTTTTGAATATTTCCAAATTTTTACGGATAAAATCCGTACACTGATATCGAGAAAAAAGCGAATTTCCGCTGTTTATAATCATATAATATAAATTATGCTTATAAAAATTATTCCTTTTTTTAATTCAGTAAGAATATTCTACCGGGCCGCAAAAAAACCTATTCGGTGCTGTATTAACATAACTTTTATTTAACACTTCGATTTATAAAATTATAATTTTGTAATTTAACTTAACTCCTTTTTGCAACAATAAAACCCAACAGACAGTATATTTCACGTTTACGTTTATTTTCTAAAATTTAATTTAATGTTTAGTTTTATTTTTTTTTTGTAAAAAGGGACTTTTTTATTAAAACTTGCTGATTGCCACTTTTTTCATGTGTATATTTAAAAAAAAAATCAATTTTTCCCAAAAAAAGTCAATTTTTCCAAGACACTGAAAATTTAATAAAAAAAGGTACTTTAGGTGGTACATTTTGTTATAGCCATTACAATTTTAAATTTAAGTTAAATAATTATATTTTATTAATCGCTTACAAAATTAGTTTCATTATTAGTGCATGTACATTTTTCCGAGTGTATATAATTTTTGAACCTCTTTCTGCTTTCTGCTGTTAATTTGATTGTGCTTTTTTGTTAAATTAACTTGTTTGTGATCCAATTAGGCACTTAAACCGCGAAGTGTAAAGGAATTAGTTGCACTATTACTTAGTGCAAAATGTTTTCTTCATCGATCATTTCTGATGGAGTACTGTTAATTAAATGCGACACGATTATGGGCAAAAAGAGACTCCATGCACTCCATTTAAAAGCAGTTGTGTGGTCGGGTTTCGGATTAATTATTTCGGTTCGTATGTTATTTCACACAAGATTATAAAAAGTGAACAGTAAAAATCGGTAACCGTTATATTTGAGACGGATTCAAAGAAATTTAAGCATAATTGTTAATGGTATTGTTATTAACCAGTTCCCGTGTGATTTTCGAGTAAAAAACCCATAAATATATTTTCGAGAAAAAACACCATGAAAACGTTTCGTTATTAAAAATATTGTATAAAATTAAAACAATAAATAAAAAAGTCATGCCATGTTGTAACAAATCAATTTATTGTAGGTATGCCATAGCTCATCTCTATAAATCCAAGCTCATTTCATAACTTTTTATCGACGTCAATTTCAAATATTTATCACAGTTACTTAATTACAGAAATGCCTTTTAACAATGTTTTAACCTGTCCAAAGTAAATAATGCAATTATTAGTTGTCAGGAAATTTAAGTTTTAATGCACGTTCGCTAATGGCCAATTTTACTGCTATATTGAAAGAAATTTCATATTATAAATTTATAATTCGACTTAATAAGTAAAATGAATTTAATTTTGTTGCAATATTTAATTACTTATAATTATTAAAATATTTTTTCTACTTCCCATTATCGTACATATTTCCTTGAAACTATAGTGACATTTTAAATACACATTGACGAGGTGTGGCTTTATGGCGTTTTAGTCACGGGCTGAAGTTAGTTGACAGTTGTGAAATGTCATACAATCGTTAAAATAAACTGCCTTTTTTTTAAAATAGTACTAAATGTGCAAATTATTTTATTATTTCAATACAAAAGTATTAAATAGTTTCTCAACGTCAATATTTAAAAAGTTTAAATAAACCTTTTGATTTTTTCGACAGTAAACTAGATTTAACTGATTAACCATTAAAAATTTTCTTAATACTTAACCGTGGAGTGCCCATAAAACATTATCTTAACTTTCACTGTGAAAAACTGCTTATATATTGGATTTAACAGGTGGTTAGTCCATTTTCAAGGTCTATAATTATATTTATACATTAAAATTTGACATTTTGACATAATACAGATTCTCAAGTTACTAAATGAAAGCTAGATGGTTACTCTATTGTTTTATAGATGTCGCTCTGTACAAATATTTAATTAAAATAATTTTTAGGTAATAATATTATTAAGTATTTGTCGTAGAAAAAGTATATGTAGGCAACTCGTTTATAAACTTTTCTAGACACTCATTTAATTAAACACTCGCTCGTGCCCAATTAAAGTTCGTGTCTAAAATGGCGTTAATTAAACTTGATTGAATCATAAAAAGTGGAGCAAAAATACTGTAAAAAAACTTGTCATTAAAAATGTTTATATTTCCTCACACTTGAATCCTTTATGTACAAGTATATCTTTACAAAAAATCCATTAATGTTAAAAAATGTTTAAAAATTTATTTAAATCTTGTTAAAAATCGTGTTGATGGTTTACATTTGACTTCAAGCATGCATGTTTTTAATTATTTTGGAAATATATATTTAGAACGTTTATTTCTGTGATGATAAGTATATAGGGGGGAAATTAAAAAAGTTAAAATTATATACTGGATGAACAAAGTATCCTTCTTTGTTTTTTAAGAGCTACAAGGTCGGTTATATCAAAGAAAAGTTGCGTAATTACGAAAATTGCGAAAAAATCACAAACTGGGTGAAAATATATATATATATATATAAATCTATAGATAAATTTGTGTTTACATGTAAAACTTACTTTTTCAAAATTTCCTGCAATAACGAAGTTATAACGATTTTGGTTTTGACAGTTTTTTTATTACATTATATTATATTATATTTATATTATATAATAAATAGGTATTCAACAATAATTTTTGTTACGCTTTATAAAAAAATATTTTTAGACTGTAAACAAAAAATTTAGATAACACCCAAGTAAAAAAAGCCAATAACTGTATATATATTTTTTAATTTTAAAGACTTTGGGTCTTAATTAATTAATACATAATGTTTTAGGTATTTGTTACAGTATTTTTGAACAAACTGATAAATAACATAAAACATCCTGCACATCTGGCTTTCAATAAACCGTACTGCACATTTAAATATGTCATTAAATAAATAAAACTTTTTTTTCACTTTTTCACGTGATGCTCCAATAACAGTTACCTCATAGTAGAAAGTGCACTTTCTAACACATGTGTTCGTTTTAAAACTGCAAAATAAAGTAAAAATTTAATACGTTAAACTCATTGTTTGTTTAACGAACTAAATGGCTATGTTTCAGTCTACTTAATATGCATTGGCAATCAGAAAAATATAGAGGTACACGCGGAAATGCGCGTTTTGTATGTAAACCATGCAAGAAATGCCGCTAAATAAACTCTAGCTTTAAGAGAATAACGAATAGAATAAATCCAATGTTTTAAGTTATCAAAACATACGATTTTGTATACCTTTGACACTTTTTTGCATAACTTAAAATCTGTTTTATATATGTGTGTATTACACACTGTGTAATTTGATTAGTATTATGTTAAAATTTTAACTTTATATCTAAAATAGTTTTTTAAATATAGAGGTTTTCAAAAATAGTACTAATTTTGTTTAGTTACTTAACATTTGTTTGCATATATCTGAAACTATTCAACCTAGAGATATAAAATTTGGTATACTTATTAAAAACACATTTATAAATATTGACTTAAAATTTTAAATCAATATCATGAATAGTTTTTGAGGTATATACAATTAAAAAATATAGTCCAAACTTAACCCTGTAGGGTTAAGTGAAGAAATCCTCATTATAGTTACTTACAGCCTTTGGTGGGTATAACAATAATATTCTCGTTCTTATCATCGCCCTCAGCCCTATCCTTTCTCTCCATAACATCCTTAACAGCCTTAATCTCAAAGGAATAAGTAGTGGCCATCCTTAGCCCTTTGACATCGGCAGCAAAGTTTTTCATGGATTCTTCATTGTTAGTTTCAACATCATTTTCCGATGTCTCAGGTTCTTTGACAGCTTGGCTTCGACATCTTTGGGCTCCCCATGTTTGCAGCTCGCAATACCTCACGCTGTACCCATTTTTGGGCACTGAATTGGGCTCTGTTTCCCAGTGAAGACGCACCTGTCGGTAGTCCGGTTCCCCCATTAGGTTTTTCACGGCTGAAATGAAAAAATTGTTAGTGCTTTCTATGTTTGTTTTGCTTCAAGGTCAATTTTAATTGGACGGTAATTTGTGGTTATTAATTTGGTTAAATGGGTTTGTTGTTTTGTTTTGAACTTATTACTTTCTTATGTTTAGTATGCGATATAAAGGATCACTTTCGTATTTTAAACATATTTATTATTATATCCTATTTAGTATTTTTGTTACATTTTTTGTACTTTAAATATTTATTCTATTTCCTCTTAGATCTTGTTTAAAGATAAAGGATTTTATGGGCTTTTACCAAAATTAAAAAAGGTTTTTACTTTTACGATGGTTTTAACTCTAAAGTGCTTGTCACATATAATTAAATAAATAAGTACTGTAAAAATATTATCGTTTTTTTGGTGTTGTTATGGTTCAAATTGTGTACATCCTGTTTTAAAATTTACGATAAAGTTTTACTGATAATTTTATTGCCTTTTTGGTGGTATACCTGGCTTTTGACAGGTAGGTAAAATGGTCTTAAATTGGGTTAAATAAATATCATAAAAAATATTACTTATAGCTATTGATGTGAAAATATTCTCTTAAAAATAAAAAAGTTCTTACTTGATTCTTTTTTGATTTTTATAAAAAGTGGTTTATGGTTCAATAATTAATAAATGTAATTGTTGTGGTCAATGATTTGAACACCAAAATTTAATAAAAATACAAAAAAAAATATTAAAAATATTACTATTTTACGCTAAATCTGTCAGTCAATGACTTTAACATTAATTTTATAATTTTTAGAATAATTGTTCCATAAAATAAAAATGAATAAAAACTAAATTATACATATTTGGTTATTATACAAGGTGTCCCTGAAATGCATGTACAAACTAATGCGATATAACTAAATTCACCTCTATTCAAAAGTTGATAATAACCAAGATACAGGGTGTCAAAATTAGAAGTTAACTTGAAAAAATAAACGTTTTTAGAACGTAAACATTAAATTTCTTAAAAAAAAAATAATATTTTCATGCGTTTAAATAATCACTTTTTTTGCACCTTAGTGTATTCACATTTTAATTAAAATATTACTTTTTTCATAATTATTACGCAAAAAAACATCTTGTAAATGTCACTCCAAGTAACAATTAAACTTGTAGCGTTTCTTAATGTATTTTTTTATTCGTAACCTACTTTTAAAAAATGTTACATTTTCAAATCACAATTGCACTGGACAATTTAAATGCAAATATCTCTAAAAACCGTTACCTACTCGCAGCGACATTTAGAAATTATACCTTTTTTACGAGATAAAAATAAAATAATATTATTTTTATTAAAAACGTGAAAAAATAAGTTTCTCTGCAGATCAATGGCGCAGCGATTTGAATTATTTAATTTCAGCTAATAAAACAACAAAATGACAAATTTTAAAATAGGTCAAAATTATTTCCCAAAATTAAATTATTTAATATGATCCAAACTCTACCTGATTTTTCCTTAATTATTTTTTTATAATTTTTTTGAAATTGGCCCACAAACTAAAAGTCCATATTTACAACCAATTAATTTTTCTCGGTGTATATTTAATATTGGAGCTATCTAAACACGATATGAAATACCAGAAATTCCATTTTATCCGCGTATAAAAACAAATTGCAAAATATAGGATTTTATAAATAGATACTCGCAGTTTACCGTTTCTACAAAATGATTTGACGTTCTTTGACATTATGTATCCCATAATAAATTTAAATAAGAAGGATATTTACGAGATAACATGCACATTTTATAACTACTCAAGTTTAGAAGCATAATCTTCCGCCTATTCAATATCCTTTTAATACTAATAATATTACATCTATACCGTTAAAGGGGCAAACAATTTGACTTGGGATATTTCAACCTGTGTGAGATTTTTACCGAATGCTTTTAATGGGCCGTGAACTTTGCCACGAGCTCATCAATAGGGATTTTGCTAACACTTGAGCCTTCTAAATTGGATGTGGTGTGTACAGTTAAATTCAACGATTTAACAGGATAAAGGCTTAAATCGTGAAAAAATTATCATAAACATTTAGAACAGGACAGAAAGCCTGTGTGGCAAATTGTTAAAAGTAAAGTAATTAAAAAAAGTGTGACAGTTCTTCGACGTTCGACATCCCAAGTAAAATAACAATAAAATAGTTTATGTAGCCATGCTATTTTTAACAATTTGTTTACTACTAATATATATTTTTTACATAATTGCGCAACATTTTCTTAAAGCTATTATAATTATCACAATACTTGGTAAATTATTGAAAAGTTTTAAACCATTGGAAAAAACATTTTTATGACTTCTACGTTTTTTACACTTTTTAATAAAAAAGTCTTTGTTTTGTCTTGTTTCATAAATATGAACTGTGTTTAAATAACAAACATCACAATACAAATATTCAGGTACTAATTTATGTTTAATTTTAAAAATTATATCTAAAGCTCTATAATACGAGGTGTGTTCAGAAAATATCGGGAATTTTCGTTTTTTGAGACAAATATTTATTTATTCGTCTACATAAATGTTGTCGCCTTCAAAATAGTCCCCATTGGATATTATGCACATGTGCCAGCTCTTCTTCCAATACTCGAAACACTTCTAAAACTCGATCTTTGGGATAGCCTTTAGTTCTTTCCGCGATGCGCTTTTAATGTCATCTATGCTTGCAAAACGACGGCCCTTTAAGGTTCTCTTTATTTTTGGGAATAGGAAAAAGTCAGACAGAGGCATGTCTGGCGAATATGGAGGCATCATTACAGTATTGTTTTTGGCCAAAAATGTTCAAAATTTAACAATTTTAGAACAAATTTTGCTGCCACGCTTTTCATACCCAAAACATTCGAAAAAATTTCATGTGATGAGCCAATCGATATATCAACATCATCAGCGACTTCTCTGATGGTTTATAACCATTTATTCCACATTTTCCATGTTTTTATCGGTTGTTAATGTGCTGGTGCGTTCGGGGCGTTCGTCATCTTCAACGTCTTTACGGCCATCTTGGAAACTCTTATACCAATTGTAAACTCTTGTTTTACTTATAGCAGACTCACTATAGGCCTTTGTTAACATTTCACAGAATTTTTTTAATTTTTTAAGCAAAATTGGATACAAATTCTTTGATCCAACGAAAAATCGCCAAGCTCATAAAACACGTCTAACCTTAGCGGCTGCCACAGACAAAGTAAACAATGAAAACAGCTACCAACATAATAAGGAAAATTTTATGACAACCGGACCCTCCGAACCCGCGAAATTTAACAATTCCCGTTATTTTCTGAACACACCTCGTATATTCTTTGTTTAACACTCATAAAATCTAAAACATCTAACATTAACTCAATGGGTGTATATTTATTACATTTTAATATATTTTGAATTATTTGTAGTTTAGATAGTTCACTTTGGTTTAGGTTAAAAAGGACTGTCGAACAAAACTCGATATGTGGTTAAAACAGAGACCTATACAAAACAATATTTATATATAAACTTAGTTGTTTTCATATTCTATTTAAAAAATACACTTTTTTGACATTTTTGACATAATATAATTACAATGACTAGAAAAATTTAAGCGTTGGTCTAAAATAACACCCAAGTATTTTATCTCATTTACCCTTTCCAGACTAGAATTATTGATTTTTTTATCTACATATACTTGTGTTTTAAAATTTTAGGCAATAACAATATATTTACATTTATTTGTATTAAGACAAAAATCGTTATTACATAACCAATTATAAAGAAAATATAAGAACATATCTGTCATTTCTTAGCATAACTGGTTAAATTTACGTTAATTTTACGTTATACCTGGTTAATTCATTTAAGTAATATTGTACTACAACGTTAAATTAACCTTAAATGAACGTAATTTTGTAATAAATAATGTTAGTTTTAATAATTAAGGTAAAATTAACGTTTTGTGTTAAATTTACCTTTTGGTTAAAAGAGAAGGTATTATTTGGTAGTTTTTCATTTATTTTACCTACTTTTTAACTCTTAAGTCATCTTAAATTATAATTAACCAGTTTAAGTTTATTTTAACTTAACCATTTTCAAAGGTTAAAATTAGAAGTTAATATAACGTTATGTAACTTCTAAAATAACCTACTTTTGACTTATAAGTAATATTACTAACTAGTTAAATGTTTGGTTTATTTAAAGTCAATTTAAAGTCTTGAAATATCCTAAAGTAAAGTAGTAATATTACCAATAGGTTTATTTTATTAGTTAAATTATACTAAAAATAACCTTTAAATTTACCTTAAGGCTATAGCACCTGGCAAATAAAAAATCTTCTTTTGTCAACGTTTTTTTCTTGGTGTATCTAAGATGGTGTTTGTGATAAGAATCTTATTTAAAGTACTTGCTGTACCTTCTATCCAATTTAATGATATTATAATACTATAATAGTTCTAAAAGGCGTTGTTAAATTACAATACCCTTAAATGATGAAATATGAACACCAACCATAGAAACAAACGCATTAAAAATTTATTTATGATAATTTATTTCGATCCCTAAGATGTATTCTAATTTTAAATAAGTATACTCTTATACCTAACACATGTAATGGAATAAAAAGTATGAATAGATAAAAACTCCATGGGAGCTTTTATCTATTTTTATTTATATGTATATTTCTAAGCATACTTACAGAATAAATCCATTATAGTTATATCAAATGATTAAAAACAGACACGGCTTAAAATGTCAAAGCACTTGAAAATTATCTTACTAAAAACAAAAAGCTATTATTTGCTTATACTATACTATTGTATATTATGACCCATGGATTTAGGACGTTAAACTTATGTATGAAAAAGCTAAATGCAATTGCAATGCAAAAAATACAATACATGAACTTTACCGCTATAAAAACAATATTTTGTTTAATGTTGAAAGGTATATGAAACTATTAAAATGTTTTATTAAGGTTTAATGAATAAAAATTGCAAGTTGGCAAGTTCTTTCGTT